ACTCACCTGCTACATGAGACAAGCTAGTCAGATGTTCCTGCTACATGAGACAAGCTAGTCAGATGTTCCTGCTACATGAGACAAGCTAGTCAGATGTTCCTGCTACATGAGACAAGCTAGTCAGATGTTCCTGCTACATGAGACAAGCTAGTCAGATGTTCCTGCTACATGAGACAGGCTAGTCAGATGTTCCTGCTACATGAGACAAGCTAGTCAGAGACTCCTGCTACATGAGACAGGCTAGTCAGATGCTCCTGCTACATGAGACAGGCTAGTCAGATGTTCCTGCTACATGAGACAAGCTAGTCAGATGCTCCTGCTACATGAGACAGGCTAGTCAGAGACTCCTGCTACATGAGACAAGCTAGTCAGATGCTTCTGCTACATAAGACAAGCTAGTCAGAGACTCCTGCTACATGAGACAGGCTAGTCAGATGCTTCTGCTACATGAGACAAGCTAGTCAGATGCTCCTGCTACATGAGACAAGCTAGTGAGATGTTCCTGCTACATGAGACAGGCTAGTCAGAGACGCCTGCTACATGAGACAGGCTAGTCAGAGACTCCTGCTACATGAGACAAGCTAGTCAGATGCTTCTGCTACATAAGACATGCTAGTCAGAGACTCCTGCTACAAGAGACAGGCTAGTCAGATGCTTCTGCTACATGAGACAAGCTAGTCAGAGACTTCTGCTACATGAGACAAGCTAGTCAGATGCTCCTGCTACATGAGACAAGCTAGTCAGAGACTCCTGCTACATGAGACAGGTTAGTCAGATGCTCCTGTTACATGAGACGAGCTGGTCAGAGACTTCTGCTACATGAGACAGGCTAGTCAGAGACTCCTCCTACATGAGACAAGCTAGTCAGATGCTCCTGCTACATGAGACAGGCTAGTCAGAGACTTCTGCTACATGAGACAAGCTAGTCAGATGCTCCTGCTACATGAGACAGGCTAGTCAGATGCTCCTGCTACATGAGACAGGCTAGTCAGAGACTCCTGCTACATGAGACAGGCTAGTCAGATGCTCCTGCTACATGAGACAGGCTAGTCAGAGACTCCTGCTACATGAGACAGGCTAGTCAGATGCTCCTGCTACATGAGACAGGCTAGTCAGATGCTCCTGTCATGAGACTTCAGATGCTCCTGCATGAGACAGGCTAGTCAGATGCTCCTGCTACATGAGACAAGCTAGTCAGATGCTCCTCCTACATGCAAGCTAGTCAGATGCTCCTGCTACATGAGACAGGCTAGTCAGATGCTCCTGCTACATGAGACAAGCTAGTCAGATGCTCCTGCTACATGAGACAAGGCTAGTCAGATGCTCCTGCTACATGAGACAGGCTAGTCAGATGTCTCCTACATGAAACAGGCTAGTCAAGGGTGCTCCTGCTACATGAGACAAGCTAGTCAGATGCTCCTGCTACATGAAACAGGCTAGTCAGATGCTCCTGCTACATGAGACAGGCTAGTCAGAGACTCCTGCTACATGAGACAAGCTAGTCAGATGCTCCTGCTACATGAGACAGGCTAGTCAGATGCTCCTGCTACATGAGACAAGCTAGTCAGAGACTCCTGCTACATGAGACAGGCTAGTCAGATGCTCCTGTTACATGAGACAAGCTAGTCAGAGACTCCTCCTACATGAGACGAGCTAGTCAGAGACTCCTGCTACATGAGACAAGCTAGTCAGATGCTCCTGCTACATGAGACAGGCTAGTCAGAGACTCCTGTTACATGAGACGAGCTAGTCAGATGTTCCTGCTACATGAGACAAGCTAGTCAGATGTTCCTGCTACATGAGACAAGCTAGTCAGATGTTCCTGCTACATGAGACAAGCTAGTCAGATGCTCCTGCTACATGAGACAAGCTAGTCAGATGTTCCTGCTACATGAGACAAGCTAGTCAGATGTTCCTGCTACATGAGACAAGCTAGTCAGATGTTCCTGCTACATGAGACAAGCTAGTCAGATGTTCCTGCTACATGAGACAAGCTAGTCAGATGTTCCTGCTACATGAGACAAGCTAAAGTACTGTCGGAAATGCTAGAAAAATGCTTTTTGACTTATATTTAAAATTCAGAGGTATTACAGTTACTTAAATAACAAATATCACTTCAAGAAACATCTACCTAATGTAGACCGAGGGAATAAATTTTGAGACATGCTCTAAAATGTGTTTTTACTGATGAAAATACCAAAAACTTAGAAAAATAAGGGGTAGTGGGACGTTATTTGATACAAACATTAATTGCCTGAGTTACGTCATCAGCATGCACGGTATCGACAGGTGAAATTGACACCTGAGCAGACGCTCGGGCGAGGGGTCATCTCAATAGATGTTTTCTGCAAAATGTTGAATATGTGTACGTATAGTATACGTATCGGTTATGTAAGGGATCATGTGTGTTTGTTTTGAAATAAACATACGAATTACTGTACATTGGAAAGAATCCTGTCACTTGTGTTATCTTATCGATTGATTGTAGAAATGTGCAACGTTTTAATAAATGTTTTGCATGTCAACAGTATATTTCATTGCAAAAATATGGATGTAATTCGGTCAGTTTAATCTAGTTGTGAACATTGGCCAAAGATTTAACGAAGTCACTGGTGTAGCTTCTTTAGAATATATATATTTTTCTTCTTATAAAGGTTGTAGACCGCCTAGTCAAGCACTCCCTTGTCAAAGTTGTCAAGGATGGTTTTACTACACGTCCGTTTTGCATTTGAGTCGGTCCCATGTCTTGTCTGATTTGTTTACAATATTGTAAACTTGTTGATAAGACATGCCAACAGCTCTACAAGTTCTGTAATAAACCCCTTCTAAACTAATGAAAGGTTTACCTGTCTTTTTTAAGCAGAAAAAAACTATAAACCTTTGCAACAACAATCGACTGCAAATCGTTGGCCCTAGTGGAGGCTGTGATAAAGATGTGCATGCATGACGGGAAACTTATTTATCAAGACTTAACATTTATATTAATATTTCTTCAATAAAGAAACGATAATTAAGTAAAATAACACAAACATTCAACATTTATTTGTTTAGGAAAAACGTTAATTCATATTTTTACACCACCTGTATTATTAGCATAAATGTAAAGACTATTTCAGATTTCTGTTGTTGAACTCTGAAAAAATCTTAAGTTGCTGTTTTGGTACCGAATTCTCTCCTGTAAACTGCCCTTTAAATGCATGGGAATGTTAAATTGATTGAAATAAAAATTAGGTAGACAATAGGCGAGTTGATATATTGACAACATAGTACATTTATCACCTTTATAAAGATATTAAGGCTCAAAAGCATTTTTCTAGCATTTCCGACAGTACTTTAGTCAGATGTTCCTGCTACATGAGACAAGCTAGTCAGATGCTCCTGCTACATGAGACAAGCTAGTCAGAGACTCCTGTTACATGAGACAATCTAATCAGATGTTCCTGCTACATGAGACAAGCTAGTCAGATGTTCCTGCTACATGAGACAAGCTAGTCAGATGCTCCTGCTACATGAGACAAGCTAGTCAGATGTTCCTGCTACATGAGACAAGCTAGTCAGATGTTCCTGCTACATGAGACAAGCTAAAGTACTGTCGGAAATGCTAGAAAAATGCTTTTTGACTTATATTTAAAATTCAGAGGTATTACAGTTACTTAAATAACAAATATCACTTCAAGAAACATCTACCTAATGTAGACCGAGGGAATAAATTTTGAGACATGCTCTAAAATGTGTTTTTACTGATGAAAATACCAAAAACTTAGAAAAATAAGGGGTAGTGGGACGTTATTTGATACAAACATTAATTGCCTGTGTTACGTCATCAGCATGCACGGTATCGACAGGTGAAATTGACACCTGAGCAGACGCTCGGGCGAGGGGTCATCTCAATAGATGTTTTCTGCAAAATGTTGAATATGTGTTCGTGATAGTATAATGTGATCGGTTATGTAAGGGATCATGTGTGTTTGTTTTGAAATAAACATACACTAATTACTGTACATTGGAAAGAATCCTGTCACTTGTGTTATCTTATCGATTGATTGTAGAAATGTGCAACGTTTTAATAAATGTTTTGCATGTCAACAGTATATTTCATTGCAAAAATATGGATGTAATTCGGTCAGTTTAATCTAGTTGTGAACATTGGCCAAAGATTTAACGGAGTCACTGGTGTAGCTTCTTTAGAATATATATATTTTTCTTCTCATAAAGGTTGTAGACCGCCCGTCTAAGCACTCCCTTGTCAAAGTTGTCAAGGATGGTTTTACGTCCCGGTTTTGCATTTGAGTCGGTCCCTGTCTTGTCTGATTTGTTTACAATATTGTAAACTTGTTGATAAGACATGCCAACAGCTCTACAAGTTCTGTAATAAACCCTTTCTAAACTAATGAAAGGTTTACCTCTGTCTTTTTTAAGCAGAAAAAAACTATAAACCTTTGCAACAACAATCGACTGCAAATCGTTGGCCCTAGTGGAGGCTGTGATAAAGATGTGCATGCATGACGGGAAACTTATTAATCAAGACTTAACATTTATATTAATATTTCTTCAATAAAGAAACGATAATTAAGTAAAATAACACAAACATTCAACATTTATTTGTTTAGGAAAAACGTTAATTCATATTTTTACACCACCTGTATTATTAGCATAAATGTAAAGACTATTTCAGATTTCTGTTGTTGAACTCTGAAAAAATCTTAAGTTGCTGTTTTGGTACCGAATTCTCTCCTGTAAACTGCCCTTTAAATGCATGGGAATGTTAAATCGATTGAAATAAAAATTAGGTAGACTATAGGCGAGTTGATATATTGACAACATAGTACATTTATCACCTTTATAAAGATATTAAGGCTCAAAAGCATTTTTCTAGCATTTCCGACAGTACTTTAGTCAGATGTTCCTGCTACATGAGACAAGCTAGTCAGATGCTCCTGCTACATGAGACAAGCTAGTCAGAGACTCCTGTTACATGAGACAATCTAATCATGACCTACCAGTGGTGATGTGTTGTCAGCACAGCATTCAGTAACACACCCTCTTCCTTCACAGCCGAGACTATCTGAAATACAGACCTCACTAAGGCATATTGTTGCATGCAATTTGGGATCAGCATTTGACATTCCGTCAAAAGATTTCTCTATGCCATACTTTTTAAATCACAAGATTGTCATCACTTCTCAGATAATTATATTACACGAAGTCCCTTTCCACAAAGACTCCATGCTTGTTATGTGCTGAACATATGACAAACCAATCAGAACGCTCGTAATGATTGCTGTGCTTTGATAAAAATAATCCTGAGTGCTTAAAATTGTTCATGGCATTATGTCATTGTTTAAAAAATCATGAAAAATACATATCGTCATATTGAAACTACAAAGAATGTAGCTAACAGAATTGTTTTGCCTCGTGTAGTTTTTAGTAAGGATAATGCCATGGACGTGAGAGATTCAAATACATGCACATGCGTTTGTTTACATAACTGCTCTCATGTGTCCAATTGAGTGTATTTCTGACGATCTTGCAGGTTTATTTTTTAGATTGTATTTTAAAGTCATTTTTTTAGTATCTGCTTTGGGATTTAATGAAGCTGACAAAAATGATCATTTTGGGGGCATATTCAATAAAACAAATCCCATTTGCAATTCTTAAATCCTATTTAGAAACATACATTTGGAAATATAAGCTGAACAGCTGGTAATAATTAAGTTTGAATATGTCTTTAACAAATATTTTTCTCTCCTTCTTTTAGTTGTTTCAAAGAGGTTCAATTCTTTAAAATATGTAATTAAACAAAACATTTTATGCCGCACTAAGCAATATTCCAGCTATATGGCAGCGGTCTGTAAATAATCGAGTGATCAACAGCTTGAGCATCAATCTGCGCAATTGGGAACCGATGACATGTGTCAACCAAGTCAGCGAGCCTGACCACCCGATCCTGTTATTCGCCTCTTACGACAAGCATGGGTTACTGAAGATCAATATTCTAACCCAGACCTGCACGGGTGCTTCGATGATATTAAGTGCCATTGGAATCAAGCAAGAATAGAGTTATCCTTCTTGTTTAAAGTAGTTCTGATGTTCATGCGCTAATATGAAATCCTTCCAGACGGGCAAGAGTCGCTATTCGGCTTGTCCCGCAATAACATGAGTTGGTCAAGAATGGAAGTATATACAGACTTTTCAGTTTGTTGCCCTTGCCTATTACATTACACTGACATACACTTATGATACAGGAAATGTTTATTGAATTATCCAACTCAAATTCTGATTTTGTTTCAAATCATTGACATCAACATGTGGTTGATTAATCACCAGAATGATGGGTGAAATGTGTAAATCTAATTAGCAGATCAGTTGTTTATTTTGTCCAGCAGACTCTCTTTTGGACGCGAGTGACCCAAGCAGTTTTAGAAATAACATCTTTAAATACTGACACACATCGTGGTAGTTTTTACTCATGATAAACTCTTAACAATTTCACCAAGTTTTGACAAGTGTCCAGTCATCAAGGTATTCTAGGTAAGCATAATATTAAAAGTCATCAGAAATGTATGTTTTGCACTATTTAACACTAAGTATATAAGTGTCAGCTCCAAACAGACCTTCTCTGGTTCAACTGGATCGACTGCAGCACACTGTTTGGTGTCTTCATCAATCAGGAGGTACATATAGTTATCCTCAAGCGCTGGGATTAGTTTCACTCTCATGTCGGACTGGGATATTAACAGTTCTCGGGAGTGACAATTTCTACACAGCACCTTCTGGGGTAATGGCTTAACTGCAACAAAAAATAGAATGAAACCAACTGTCTTTGGTCTATTAAGACATAGGATAAGTTAAAGTCAGATGAGAGTATATTTTTGTGGAATAGAAATTAAAGGGGCACTGATTTATGGCTTCTACCCAGTGTCTAACACTGTCTTATTAGCTGCTGCGAATAACTGGCTCACACAACTTAGAAATTTGAATGTAGAAACTAAGCAAGAGATTACAAAAAGGTAAAATACCATCAAAAAGAAGTAAGAAAACACATGTCTGAAATATTTTGTTAATGCTCAAATAGGTCATCATTAAGCTACTAATATGATGAAACATTTTTATCAGACCATAAGCATGCATGATTTAAAAGTGTATTATAACTTAACAAGTCAGAGAGAGTGATATATTTACAAAATGACCCCCTGAAAATTCTCTAGTCAGTCAGGCCAGTGACTGGAGATTTACTGGCCCGACTGGATTTTTACTAGTGGGCCAGTGGCTATTTTGCAAAGTGTAACTACCTGACATTATTCATATAACCTTTTGGTTGTAGTTTACTATACCCACAATTTGTTTTCATTCTTTTGTTTTAGGAATTTAGAAATGAGCTCCAAAACATGATGCCACACACAAGGATGCCTAGATTTCCCAATGAATTCCCAGATAAAGCTGTATTTCATCTTTGTTGATTAATATGAGGATATGTCCTTATACTCTAAAACATGATTACAGTTAGCACAACATAGATTGTGAACCACTATGATTACTGGAATACCATCAGTGTGTGCACAGGGAAAAAACAATATCAAAGACAACAACCAATCCCTGTGCAAAAAAAAATAAAAATAATAATAAAAACCCACCCCAAAACACTATCCCAAATAGTGATGAAAGGGTTGCATTATCATGTAAACTTCATTTATCTAACCAATGACTTTTAGCAGGGGTGCCATAGATTTTAACTCTAGAGAAAAGATCTGAGAATGTTAAATCTTTATTACTGAGGATCGAGGGGACACTAACATACACCACTTGGGCTATGAACACATTTCACGGAATGCCACACCCTGAAACAAGGTTTGCTACCCTCTCGTCTACACTGACTTGACCCACCTCGACACATGCATTATACAACACACAACGGTGGTATAACTGAAGTTAGTGACTCAGTCATGTCAATAGGCCAGCTGACAGTCTTATCACTTAAAATATCATTTCCAATTCCTATGATGTTCAACAGGAATGCAATATTAATGACCTGGGGCTCCTTTCACAAAGCAACCAGTTTACTAAGGTTAACCGTAACTCCTATTCTTTAACATTGCACTAAGGTTACCTTAGTGACTTAGTGACTAAGTGAAAGCACCTTAGTGCTTTGTGGCCTTGTTTAGCTGGTTGATGTTGTCAGTTTAACACTTTTAAATTCACATTAATATAAAAGCACATCCTTTCATGTCTTCAAAATGTGCTTTCAGTAAAAAGTAAAGAACATTAATTTTTCTGAACTTACTTAAGATAAAATCCTTTATTGATTAAGACTCTATCAAATAACTAGACTGGATTCTGAATTTACCCAGGTAAGTATGTAAGATCATGTCTACTGCAGTACAGACTATATATCGATACCTGTTGAAATAATAAAGGCTCCATGTTACAGCAAGTTATACACTGATATACTCACTGTACAAAGTACGTATACCACATATAAAGAAGATATAAATAAAGTTACAATACCCCTTTGTCAATGCAGATTTACACACGTCAAAGTTTAGTACACGGTACCGGGCGTAACATACAAAGGGAGATAACTCTTGCGAACAAAACATTCCATGACAAATCAATTTCGCTCAAACACCACAACCTTCTGTCTTGTTTGACTGCTTCTATTGCGAAAGACAGCAGATTTCAGCAACGGCATTCAGACGAATACATCCTTACCGTTTTTGTTTTTAAGAATAGCGGCAATTCTTACTAAGCGTGCGCCTGCTCTGTTCATACTGTTTCTGCCGTCTGTGCAGACAGCGCCGGTGATATTACTTTTTGATACCTGTGTATAAAGATACCCTTATTTCGGGATGCGGTGTGTATGTAAGTTTTTTACGATCTATTATCCATTTCAAAGTCCACTACGCGGGTGTTTTGTTGACATGTGTTTCGGCAGTTGTAAGTAACAAATATATCAAAGAAAGATAAGCACTCATGATATTAGTTTTCTCTGGGTCCTTTTCTCCTTTTGTGACATTTAATACGAATACAGATCGTTTAAAATAGAAGTGTCTTCCTGATGTGTAGGGCATATATGTAAAGATAACACAGCGTACTTATGTATAAGTAAATCTTCCAAAAACACTTAAACATGTAGTATAAATAATTAAGTGTGATGATAAAAATACTAATATTCCGGTGTAACACTTATAATTACCACCTCGATCGTTCATGAGGTAAACAAACATGTGGAGCTAATGAATGCATCATGCCCAGACGTAATTCATGGAACCTTTCAGGAAATGATGACGTTTTAAAAGTCAACAATTAGGTACACCATCATTCAGCGAAACATGGTTCAGTGTTATTTATTATTGAGACGTACGTCATTGTAAATGGCTATGTGTTGTGATGCAATTTTACTGTAGCAATATCTCCTAGGAAATAGCGCTTGTCCTAACCCCAAAACTGGTATTGACTTCCCGAATAGTTTACAATTGTATAATATATGCACAGTTAATACATATGTATAGCAAAACCTATATGTTCTACCGTCTATCTTCGCGCATCGTTGACATCTTTCGAAGAATCAACCGTCTCAACAGTACCATTCCAAACCCTCTGTTGGTACAAAAAGTAGATTTACCTACTCAGTAGACACACTGAAATAACAGTCGAAACACATGCCCCTTATGCCAAACCCTTTCTACCCGACACAATAAATTTATGGAATGCCCTACCAAATTCCAAAGTCATGCAGTCTCAAAGAATTTTAAAACCTAATTACAAAAAAACAAAAACAAGATTTATATTGATCTTAATTATGGCTCTTGTTCTTGTCAAATCGTTCATTGCTGCCTCAGGCTCGGATCTAGCGACCCAAACACCGATACGTATATACAGACATTTAATAAACAGTGTATGTTGCTCTTGTGGATATCAACTACCCGTTATAACCTGGATAATTTTTGAACGGAAACAAAGAATTTACTCCTTGTGATTGATTTATATTCCTACAATAGCTTGTTAGACACACACAACTGTAAGTCTCTAATTATGACTACTTAGAGAATAGTTGTATTTGATGTAATCTGTATATATTTATATGTACTTAAAAATATATTTATGCAATAGTCAATATCGATGACATCACATCCTCCATTTCATTTTAGATTTTATGTTGCATGGGAGCAGTGTTAACATAAGCAGTAATACTTCACCAATCCCAATTCATTTTCATACATAATAATAAAATATGTTTAAACCAAAATGACTTTCAAACTTCATAATAGTCAATAAAAATGTGTTATCATAATTACATATTCTTCTGAATAAATAAAATATTCAATGAACTATTTCTTCTGTGTAAATATAATCTTTGATAATCTATTTCATTAATCAACTCAAAAATGAACTATGCCTCCTGTGGGTACTGGGCTGGGCTGATCCCACTTTCATTGTAGGAATGTGGAATCACCACCTATGTGCACTGAACCATTAATTAATGTGTCTCACAAATGGGACACCGACCATTAACACCCATCTGCGGATGCATCAACAGCGCAGGTCTCACCCCCAAAGTATGTATGAGCCATAATCCCTTAAATTGTGGCGACCAATATATTGATGAAACCCTCAGACGCCTCAACATCACACATCAGTCCTGTAAACAAACTCGACCAGATATCTGCTATTTCCGAACACATCAGCAAGAAACAAGACTATACTAACTTGTGGAAAACTATCCGAATCTGGTCCACAAACTGCCGCCATGGAAGCTACAAAAATTAAGCTATGGACAACAGGAAATATCCAATGAACTATGACCAGGGAACTAATCTTCCTGGCGCTTGGGTGTTGTTGATTTCATTAACTGTGTCTCTATCCATCCAGCTGGTTTCCGTGTCTATCAACAATCACTGCTCATTACCCCCATTGTCCTCACCTTTTGTCCATTGCCAATCAGTGCGTATTGGCTATCAGTACTAATTAACATCTGGTTTTATTCCTGGCTTCAATTTGCTATTACCAATCAGAACCAATTAACTTCTGTCTTCCCTTGTTAGGTGGCCACCTTTATATCTTATCACTGTTGTTGTGCATATATAAAATCTCTGCTTCCTAAAGATAAAGTAAAGAATACACTCCGACACGTCATAATACAGAAGTTGACATCCACAAATTTCCCCCCATTTCCGGCTTCTAAATCCCAATGCCTTTTCGCGCAAGCGATTTCAATTCCTCGTCCACAATTTGACGAACAGCAGCAGATTCACAAGTTCTAATACTGTTTTTGAAGACATTTTGAGATTATATATACGTGCTTGGGTAGCACGTAACAGTTCTTCATCAGAAGAATTATTTTCGTCAGTCATCTTCCCATGACACAACAAAGTTCGCATTCGAAATGGCCTTTTCAATCAGACTTCTTGCAAAGCATCTTGCTTAAACTTACTTTGCGTCAAATATATACGGTCATCACTGTCGTCATTTATTGCTACCTTCGTACCTGTCTCCATTCAATCATTCACGCGTATTGAAAAAAGGATGGTTTGTGGGTTATCTTAAACGTCAATAGTTCGAAACGTGTAGCAATTTGCACGTGTTCTATGGTGTCTGGTATATACTGAAACTAGTTACGATATTTCGAATGGCGAAATAGAATTTAGAGGCTCCACAGACACGCGCATATAATTGTCTCGGCCTAGTCCTAGGACTAAACTTCGTTGACAACTTCGTGGTCAGACTCTTCAGCGTTTGTTCTGTAAATATATACGTACCATTCCAGAGAAAATTTGTAGATGACATTACTGATGATGTGCTGCAATAAAAGCGAAACTTGAGCGACGTCTGTTGACGTCTTATCTAAGCTGAGTGCAGTGGGATCACACTCATATAATATATCCCTTTAGAAACGTTTATTTAACTGATCGAGAGAATACTATTGATGATGAACTGGCTTCACTAAATCCTTAAGTACGATTATCAACTAGATGAATTTAAAAAATATGACTTTAAAAATCCACTGTGGAATGTTATATTGTTGGAACATATTTTATTGACGTTGTATGTATAGATAACACATGTGTTATGACTTAAGGCACTATTTGATTTAAACATATTTATTTTCCAAAACACTAAGCGGTGAAAACCGCTCCGGGATACAATGGAAGAGTAAACATGTCATAATGAAAGTACAGTGTGAATGATATATGATACAAAAACGAATTCATTGGTGAATCAAATTTTGAAGCACTATTTAAATATATATCCTCAGAGAATGTGGCACTTATGTGTTCAGATCACCTTTTGGCCTAACATACCCAAAATTTGTTTCATATGATATAATAGTTTTTATCACTGCCGTCCGAACATATTTTTACGTCACACATACACTGTAAATTCTTCAATGATTGCTTGTGTTGGAATAAAATTATGTTATATAGATCTAGATCTAATAGTTTTACATTACTAGTTTAAAATTCACAATTGTTCATCCGATAATTGAAATAACAATGGGTGCTCTTAGCCATAACACGAGAATATAGATCTACCTTAATGTATAAGCCTATGTAGATGGCAGCTGCCATTTTGCTATTCAGACTGAGTGTCGTCTGCTTAGTGTAGGAAGGGAAGTAACTCTAAATCACATCCGCTTCGTCCTGCTTGACTGGTACGACGATTCTATGTCTCTTCTTGTCGCTGCTTTAACCTCGTTCTGCGAACTCCTCTCCGGTTGTTGGAAGACAGCAATGGCTAAAGCAGGAAGTTGTTTCTTCAGGATCGGGTAAAACAGATACACATCTCACATACTAGATTATCTGAGCTCATGTAACTTTTGTAAACGACTTGCATATTCTCCCTAAATGTAGATTGTCCAATATTTATTTTGTTTGTTGGAATAATGTTCAGTTATACACCAAAACTCCAGTTTAAACAGCCAGAGACCTAGAACATTAAAAGAAATTACATTTACGTCTTTGAACCAGCGTATTCGGTAGCTCTCGCTCTTATGACATGTATGTAGGAAGTACAGATTCTGATTAAAGACCACCAATAAACAGATTGAAATGAAAGTGAAAGTAGATTTTCCAAAATATACATAATGATAACTGTTGGCGGGTGTGTAGTGTGTTGAGAAAACAGACATAAAGTTGGTGTTCATTGTACAGCAGGACTGCATTTAATAACATAACATCTATCCTTAGCAAGGAACACATACCCTAATCGTGTGTATTGCAGGTACTTTATATACCCCGGATACCTGCTTGACAACAATGCAAGAATCTGTATCGAAACGTCAAATCACCTGAATAATGAAGTTGTTCATCCATAAAAGTTTGTCCTTATCTTTCTCTACCCAGGGGCTTCATTGTCATTGTATGAAATAATCCAAAAACCCTGCCAGACATCAGGGCTGGTAACTTCAAAATGTTACGAGACAGACAATTACTCATATGTATGTTTACCAGACAATTGACCTGGCTAGCTGTAAATTTAGACTGTCTCAGGCGGTTGGACAGGCCTTATTTCATACACTGCCATTGTGTATGCTACAGGTACTTTCTATACACACGGACACGGGTGGGATACTATTACCATCAGAAAGAGATAAAGAAGGCCAGAGAGAAGTTGGAGGGAGCAGACCATTCCAACACAGAACCTACCCTGTTCAATGGTAAACAAGGACGGCTGTGTGAGAGGCACAGAGTATATATTTATTTGCTGTTTTTTTGGTTTCAGTGATCACTGAAACCAAAATTTACATATGACAATTCCAAATTCTATTTATAGATACTTAAAATTCAAATTATTAATTTCAGTCATTAGTCTTTTTATAGTATAAATTCCATTTGTATTAAAATTCCTTATGTATTGATGCTAAAAATATTAATGTCATGAAATAAGACTATAACCGAGCCTCATGAAGTAAGGTGATATGTGCTACATGATAATGGAGGTAATTTAATACTCAGTTTTTTATTGTAGTATATATTGGCGAGTCAGAATGCACATTATATACACTTGTTAATGGAGGCATTTGTGACTTTGTCTTCATATTGTGTGTTTTTTTCATACTGTTCATGTGATTGTATATTTTGTTTAACAGTATTATTTATCAATTTATCTGTTGTTAGGTAACATAACATTGTCAAAATCCCTTTATGTACACAAGCTCTTTTGCTGCTCAACAGCTCTTCAGGTTTAATAAAAACTAGGCAAAGTCACTGGTAATGCATAATGGTAGTATCTATGTCGTCATCATGCATATGATATTACAGTCCGTTTGAATCAGAAACGGACCAATGAATTGCAAATTTTATCATTGTACAAAATTGCCACATAAATATAAATAGTACACATGTTTATCATTTACTAATACCCAACAGCTTTCTTATATTTGAAAATTTTCCAGACTCCACCAAAATAGTTGTTTAAGAAACTATCATCATTGAAAACGCAAAAGTTGTTATCTGTCGCGGCGGGGTGAAACCACAGAAATGGAACAGCCTGGTCATGGCGGGGGACATCTCAAAATCTATTCCGGGAGACCTGTTGGTTCCTCGTCTGTTGTAGTGTCATAGTCACGACTTAAAGGGATGACAAGTGGTGCTACAGTTGCCTGTTGTAAGCCATCCCGAGACCAGTAACCTTGTTCAGTGACGTTAGCTACCTTGTTGACACAGTTTTGCCACGTGATTTGTCGTGATTTTGTTAAGGGATTCCTTAACCATCGGTCCGTTTCTGACTCAAACGGACTGTAGTGACAGCAGAAGGAGACGTAAAATGTAGTCATAGGTGACAGAAACATTTTGTTTGTGATGTCATCATGTCTTTGATGTGTCAGTGCACTGGGTTGTTTGTGGTGCTGTTTGTGTATCTGTGTAATGCCAGGTTGAAAATGTATTAGCATGTCAATAAAGTACTACAGAAAGGTACAGGTGTAATCCATCAATTGTAGACTAGGTCAGTGACTTTAACTAGTACAAATATGAAGGTGCACAGTATCTAAGCTTCTTTGTGTGGAGACAGTGACATATTGAGTGGTGTTAAAAGTTGATAATCAGTATTTTAAGAATGAACTCTGATCATTGGACAAAGGGATATTTTCAAGTCAAGATAAGATAAATCAAGGCATGGTCTCCCATGATCTGAAGGTACAATGCCAGCTGTATTTGTATGAATCACTGCAGCTTTCCATATTTGAGGCAAATGTATTTTACACAGGGTGGAGTATTGATTGTCATTTTGATATTTTCACACATGAAATAAAATGCACACAATATTGTGTATTTTTGAAAAACTTTCAAATCTGATTGTTTACCCTCAAAAGTTATACAATGCATAAGGAAAATAATTGTTTTATCTATATTTTCATTTGGAACCCTCTTATTATAGTTTCTATAGAAAGAAGGTAGAGATCTATGAGGCGACCAGTCATTTTGAATGTCATATTTATAGCAATTACTCAAGTATTTCTTGTCAAGATATAATGAAACACTGTACATATTTAGTTTGTAGTGAGACTCAACATATACACCTGGAAAAATGTATTGCAACATGCAATATTTTTCAAAGACTCAGTATGTTACCATTAACTTTAGCAATGGAACTTAACAAAACCTCAGTTTAACTTCCCATGTGGATAAAATGACCCTCAACGAATGAATAAATGGCAAATCTAAATGCATAACACAAATTTGATGAAATTCTTTATCTTTATTTTTATTATATATGGTGTATAAGTGTGGTATTGTCAACAAACTAGACAAGTTAGGATTGAAGAAAGCATAATTAAAAAACATTAGAATATTCTGAGGCAGATTCAGAATGTTAATAAGCCTTGTTAATATGTAGTTACTTGTTTTAGTTTTATTTGTTAGTCATCAGTTTTTATTCGGAAAATATTTGTATATCAGTGCTGACATTAACTCTGTTATGCATTCACTGTGCAATTTTTCCACTTTTCCCAGTGTATGAAATAAGCCAAAAACCCAGCCAGATATCATGGCTGGTAACTTCAAAATGTTACCAGCCCAAAATGGATTTAACCAGACCAGACAATCCAAAGAAAATAACTCAATATTCTACTCAGATGTATGGAACATGTTATTGAAACTTTTGACCAGACACTGGCTAGCTGTAAATTTCGACCGTCCGTCAGAATTGGCCCTATTTCATACACTGCTTTTCCAGACAATTCTTTTTTTATTCTTTACATCAGATTTTCTTGTTTCCAGATCTGTCCATCCTTCCTATTCCCATGCTGTTAGATAATTATGCCTATCTGATCACAGACAAGGCTTCCAACATGTCTGTGGTGGTGGACCCTGGGGACCCAGAACCAGTGCAGGTAAACAGGTCAAGGTCATATCCATGACATTGAGTCATGGATTTCATGTCAATCCTTGCCGACATTGTGTCTTATATCAAACCCATCCTTGACAAAGTGTATTATAGAACATGCCCATCCTTGCCGTTGTGTATTGTAGAACATGCCCATCCTTTGACATTGTGTATTGTAGAACATGCCCATCCTTGACAGTGTGTATTATAGAACATGCCCATCCTTGCCGTTGTGTATTGTAGAACATGCCCATCCTTGACATTGTGTCTTATATTAAGTCCATCCTTGACATTGTGTATTATAGAATATGCCCATCCTTGACATTGTGTCTTATATTAAGTCCATCCTTGCCATTGTGTATTGTAGAACATGCCCATCCTTGCCATTGTGTATTGTAGAACATGCCCATCCTTGACATTGTGTATTATAGAACATGCCCATCCTTGACATTGTGTATTGTAGAACATGCCCATCCTTGACATTGTGTCTTATATTAAGTCCATCCTTGACATTGTGTATTATAGAATATGCCCATCCTTGACATTGTGTCTTATATTAAGTCCATCCTTGACATTGTGTATTGTAGAACATGCCCATCCTTGCCATTGTGTATTATAGAACATGCCCATCCTTGACATTGTGTATTGTAGAACATGCCCATCCTTGACATTGTGTATTGTAGAACATGCCCATCTTTGACATTGTGTCTTATATCAAGTCCATCCTTGACATAGTGTATTATAGAACATGCCCATCCTTGCCATTGTGTATTGTAGAACATGCCCATCCTTGACATTGTGTATTGTAGAACATGCCCATCCTTGCCATTGTGTATTGTAGAACATGCCCATCCTTGTATTGTAGAACATTGTGTATTGTAGAACATGCCCATCCTTTTGTGTATTGTGTATTGTGCATGCCCATCCTTGACATTATGTCATGGATGTTCAAGCCCATTATTGAAGTCACATGATATCACTGATATTGATATCATGCCCATGCCCATCCTCATTCTGTTATCAACATTCCTGTATAGATATGTGTTGTAAAATTCCTGTATAGATATGTGTTGTAAAAAAACTGTGGAGGACTCAGTATAACCAGATATCCAATTTGTCGGGGACTATATGACAAATGTTGGATAGATGAAGTTGCACTTTACAGTTGCTAGCCCACAACACTGGTTGACACTTTCCCTTCTTTGTTTCAGAAAGTTCTGACTGATATGAACATCACCCCTGAGGCAATACTCATCACCCATAAACACTGGTAAATACAGCACACTTTAGCAGACATTCCTTCACTGATTAGCCTTTTCTTTTCACGTCTGTCTGTTATTAGAAATTTATCCTGAGATAAGTTAAAGGATAGTGTATGAAGGCATTCAAAAATGAAGTCTGCTCTCTGTGTCTAGGGATCATAGTGGTGGGAACGAAGCCATGAAGTCTGCCTACCCAAATGTCCGGATCTTCGGAGGAACAGGTGACCATGTGCCCAGCATTACCAAGTTAGTAGCCTTTGTCCAACACAACCAAGTTAGTAACCACTGTCCACAACCACCAAGTTAGTAGTTTTTGTCCATCATCAGCAAGTAAGTAACCTTGTCCCAAATCCCCAAGCTAGCAGCCTTAACCATCATCACCAAGGCAGTAGTCTTTGAGAAAAAGCAAGGCAGTAGATTTCACTTGACATCACCGTTGCCTTACAGGCTGTAGCCTTTGCCCATCTCCAAGCCAGTAGCCTTTTCACAACATCACCATGGCACTAGCCTTTCCCTAAAATCCCCAGCAGCACAACCACTGTAGTATGAAGCTTGACGTCAATAGAATTTGACGTCATGGGGAAGAGTCCACAAACGTTTATGACTGATGGCCAAGGTCATGTTTGGCCCCACAGAAACACTGCATTTGCACAATGGAACGTCGTTGAGCAAGTACTGTTCAGGGCAAGGTGTTCATTGATGGTGTGGGGTTGCCTCTCACATGACTGTATACTTGAACTTGTGATAGACAAAATCTGAAAGGACAATAGTACAACACTCACATCCTAGACAGGGTTGTTGTACCACATTTCAATAACCATCCTCTGAACACAAGACCAGTCCTTATAGATGACTAGTGTTGTTGGTGATTTCTTGTGTCAAGAGCCTGTGGTAACTACCTTGGGCCATCAGGAGTCCAGATCTCAAAGATAAGTTCCTTTGCTTTTGTTAATGGTAACATGTTCTTACTATTAAAAGTATGGGGTGTTGCAATATTTTTATTCTATGTGTATATGTTATGTTCTTGTCACAGTTATCTAAATAGGAAATTTTCTTAAAGAAATAGTTTAAAACAAAAGGAATGCATTGCTGACTTGACATTTCTGCAGTGGTGTTGTGGATGGGGAGAAGCTGACATTTGGCGGTCTGAAGTTCACAGTCATGTTGACGCCTGGTCACACAGTAGGCCATGTGGTCTATCTTCTAGAAGGTCTTGGCTTTGAAGCTCCTGACTGCCTGTTTTCTGGGGATCATGTCTTCCTCGGTGGATGTGGTAGGTGGAGCATTGTTGTCTGTCTGTCTGGATCCTTGTTATGGAAATCCCTGAAATATACTGAACCACAAACAAAATGTCGCCTTTCAAAACCAAATGCAAGATTTTGTTCTTACAAAATGGTGTTTATATTATGATTGTATCATTTGTTAACATGTTTTTTATTCCAAATTGACAGTTATTATCAACATCAGTGTGTTTTCTGATGATAAAGCATATGGACCAAATGCACCTAAAAAGGTGGTAAAAGGTTCTGTATGACATTCGTGAAAATGCACATGCATATCGTGACAACCCTACCAATGAAAGCGAGTCCCAAACTCGCCTGAAATAATTTTTGTTTTGACACAATCACCATGGCATGACTTACGAGAGATCAGAGGAACCAAGCCTTGGGACGATTGCAAGTTGGCCAGACTGCAAGGAGGGTGGCCGATCACTTTAATGTTCATGTTAGGACAATCTACCAACTGCAGGAGTGGTATCAGGTCACTAACAGCATCCAAGACTGTCCACACAGTGGGCGAACTTCAGTAACATGACAACGTCAAGACAGATTGTGCGCCACCATCTGCAGGATTGCTTCCCCAGAGTGACGGAAGCAGCACGCCAGACCACTGGGACTCACAACAGACCCATCAGTGCCTATACAGTGCGTTGATGTTTGAGCGGGAAGAAACCTGTACTGTCACAGACCATATCATAGTCCTGTCCTCACCGCTCATCACGGCCCAAACCGACTGCATTGGGCAACTCAGCATCGAAATTGGCATTATCAACAATGGAGAACTGTGCTTTTTCTCATGAAAACCGATACTGTGTTTTGACAGTTGATGGCAGAGTGAGAGTATGGTGAAGGCGTGGGGAACTGTTTTCAAATGAGTTTATTGTTGAAAGAGAATTGTAGGGTGGTCCAAGCATCATGGTGTGGGGTGAAATCGGTCTGAACCAGATAGTTGGCACCGTGGTGTTCCGGAATCTCCATCCAGGACGAGGAAATGACATGACAGCTGCTCGCTATATTGACCAAGTCATAAGACCCCACATTGTACCACATTCTGGATGTTACAGAAATCACATCTGCCAGCAAGACAATGCTCGTGTCCACACAGCCTCAGTAACATTGGACTTCCTAAGACAACGTGGCATCCAAACCCTACAATGGCCTGCACTCAGTCCGGATTTGTGTCCAATAGAACACCTTTGGGACGAGATTCAAAGAAGACTGCATGACCTCCACCCAAGGCCGACAACTGCTGGTGAACTCAATCCGGCATTTCACAGAGAATGGACCCAAGTGCCTATGGCCTTCAGCAACCAGCTAATTCATTCCATGTACAAACGATGCAATGCTTTTTATTGATGCCCATAGAGGCCACACACAATACTGATTTTTGAGTATCTTAATGGTACCATTTTTGGTGATTTTGTTTGTGTGAACCCTAAATGTGAATCCTGAAAATGTGTTAACCATAATTGTCAAGTTTGAACTCAATTCTCAGTTTTGATTGTTAATTAGAGTGAATTAAACTGTGCTTTAAGAAACCACTATCGTTTTTTTGTTTGTGGTTCAGTATATATATAATTTGCTAGGCAGCTTACTGCACATTGACCACTGGATGTGCAGGTGGGTTCGGAGAGTTGGAATGACAATATCATGTCTCATCAATGTTGGCATTTTACTGTTCTAATCAAGGTAACAGTAATGCTATGTATTTGCTCAGAAATATTTAATATTTTTAGCTGTATATAAAAATAATGTAGCTTAGTAAGTGTTTGATTTCGTAAGTTTTATTACTATGTTTGTTTTGCTGTGCACTGTAATACGAGGAGTTATCTTCAGGTCGAATGTTTGAGGGTACGCCATCCACCATGCTCACGTCCCTCGACAAGATGTGTGAGCTGCATGACTCCACACTCATCTGGCCAGGTAAGATATTCTGGATTATATACAGTAGGAACATTCTATATTACATATACATTTATGAAGAAGAAATAAATAAATAAATTTCTTACAGTCATTTGGATGAGCCAGTACTAACTCATACATGTTGCAATCCCAGTTGCGTAGATCGATGCTCATGCTGTTGATCACTGGATTGTATGGTCCAGACTTGATTATTTACAGACCGCCACCATTTAGCTGGAATATTGCTGAGTGCGGTGTGGAACTAAACTCCCTCATTTATAGATGTTGGATTGACTTATCAAAGGATAATAGTAGATGCAGGTGATATGTTTATTTGTGAAACTCTTGATGGTAAAACCTGCATAAATTAGGACACATCATGTGCACGTAGTCGGTTGTCTCATGAAAGCTAGACTGTCCCAATCCTGTTTTGTCTATTGTATTATAATCTGCTCTTGTTACTATGTTAGTTCTATGGTAGCCTTCTGTTGTGTCGTTGAGACAACTCAGAGAATCTTCATGCACACCTATCACAAATTTGAATGTTGAAGAGCATTGAGAGTAGGTTCATTACACTTGGTTGAGATAGTGTACAAATCTAGTATGCAAGGTTGTCTCCCAATTTTAGAGACAGAGAAATAGCCCTACTCCACTGTTTGTTTCAGGACATGAGTATGCAACTGATAACCTGGAGTTTGCCTGCCATCTTGATAGTGAAAACTCAGATGCAGAGGTAATACCACACGTTGTTCATAAGAAAGTTAACAAAAAGTTAATGTACCAAAATGATAGACTCTATCTATAAAATTCAAGGGGAAATAATTTATGGATGTCAACTTTTTATTAGGAGGAGCACAATGTTTCAATGTATATGCTCCCATCATCATCAGGTAAATACCCTGGAATATTGTGGTCCTCATAATAAACACGTTAACATCCATTAATCCTGTCCCTCATGTTTATCACTTCTTAATGCCTTTCAAAGATTTTATGCAATGAAATTTCTTAGAATTAGTTGTAACCATGTGACATTTTATGCATTATACAGGAGAAGCTGAAGTGGGCTAAAGCAAAGCGAGAGCAGAAATCACCTACGGTATGTAAATTTATTGGAAGTATCTGAAACCTTTGTAGGTCACATGTTTGTGGTAGAAAAATTGTTTGTGACTTATTGTTGGGTAAGATTTGACAGGTGCTGTCTCCACCCCTTGCCAACTGTGATGTGAACTGTTGTTTCCTTGATAGAGGCCACGTGTCCTCTCTCAACATTAATGTGTGTACTACAGTTTGACAGAATAAACTAAAATCACAAAGTTATGTATTACAGTACTTTATCAGAGTGCAAGTTTGAACATATATTGATAATTGTTCCTTATCCTGACTCATGCTAATTATGCTTGTCTCCTTCCTCATGCGAATGACAGTGGAACACTTGAAATCCCTTGAAGTTCCCTTTTAAAAAAGCGGAAGTAAAATCACTCACCCAAGAGTAGCGTCCCTTTCCTCCCTTTGGCGCCCAAATGGTCACATGATGGGCCATATTTGTCACTCTCTCCTTCTTCACCCTTGAGGACGGTTGTGAGAGCACCCGGGTCCCTATACGGCACATATCCTTTTAACCGTGTGTTAACCACTGCTGCAGATGTTCATAATTCTAGTGAATTGCTGAACGTTTCTCAAGAGCAGGTCGATGTACCAGGGGTGAATGCCAGAGGCCATCGCAGATGAAGAAGGCCAAATCTTCATCTTCGCAGAAGAAGAAGGCTACTACCATGAAGACTTCAGCGAAAGTCTAGATGAGCTCTACACAGAAGACGAGGTCTTTCTCAGCCGAGATTGTTCCTCCGGAAGAAGCAGATGTTTATGATGATCTACCCATCCTCATACCTGAAGTCACCATCGACAGTAAGAAGACGAAGCCTGCTTCTACAGCTACATCGGCATTGGTATCAGCGCAGATATTGACAAGACCTGCTATCAACGCAGACATCAGGTACCAGAGATAGCAGAAGCGTCAACTCTTCACGAGTGCAGCGAGCCTTAGATGACGTCTCTTCAGTATCAGATGCATCATCCCTGCAGCAGTCTCTTCAGACAACGCAGAACTTCAACCTGGGACTGTTCATGCAACAGTTTACAGACCAGATGATGTCGATGATGGAACGTTGCTTCGCTCAGGAGAAGGCTGCTATGAAGACCGCTACAACGTCTACTAGCCTGCGTGAAGGTTCTACAGTCTCCCCACCACATCTGGATGAAGAGGGAAGCCTGCGCGAAGGCTCACGGACACGACGATCTTCCCCATCTGAAGTAGACGCCCCAGGGAGTGCTGCTAAGAAGTCTCCACGCAGGAAGGAATCGAGGCGTTCTCCGGAACCCTACAGATGTCGCAGATATGAGTCGTCATCTCCATCGGACTCTGACGCCCATCAAGAGCCTGCGCGATCGCGAAGACACTCCTACTGAGGGGAAGCTACGTCTAAGAATTCACCTTCGCGAAGGCCTAGAGAAATATCTCAAACCTCCAGGAAGGATTCAAGATCGCATCGGGATCGCACGCCTACGCGGTCGCGAAGCTCTTCATACAGATCATCCCATAGAGAGAGGGGAGATTACGTCAATCAGCCTTCGTGAAGGCTTAGAAAGATATCTCAAGACTCCAGGAGTAATACGCAGTCACACCAGGACCGTTCACCTGCACGCAGCTCTACATACAGATTTACATACAGAGACTCACGTCATAATGGATCTTCAGATAGGGAAATGTCTAACTTCACTGTCTGAAGTTAGAAGTGTGGAGAACTCTACTAACGCCAGCTCAGCATAGCAGACCCTCCGATGACAGTCGACCTGCGCGAAGGAATATTAGCTCTATAAGCTATCTCGGATGAAGGCCTGCACAAACGGTTACGTTTGCGAAGTTCTTTACCGTCAGAAGTATCAGCAGTTTAAAGCCTGGAGGATTCAACGAATGCCAAGCTTAGTGTTAGCAGTCCACGATGGAGCCTCCATGCAGTTTCAGCGTCTCAGCTGGAAGGATTCTAACACAGAAGTAGATCCAGTCGTTCTCCAGGATTCTACAGACTGCGCAGATACGGATCTTCCAACTCGGACCTTCATCAACCTGCGTGCAGGCACTCACGGGGAGGATTATAATCAAAGTCAACATGTCTCGCCGTTCAATGATAGCAGATTTCCCCTTCATCATACGGAGCCCTTCATGATACATCAGGGGTTGAGATTACAAGATCATCAGTGAATCCCGTAGTAGACTAGATGTTGGCTATGTCGGATCAAGGAGTGGCTGAAGGAAGAGACACACACCTGAAGTAACTATGTCAGATAACATTCGATGAAACACTGAAGATGAAATTTCATCACATGGGCTTACAAGATATCAAAGGGACAGTAAACAGCATTGTCGCAGTTCCTCAGCGAGACATCGGTTACGGTCAACTTTACAGAACGTCTGTATAAGATGACGACTGCAGTAAAGATTTCTGCTTACATTGATACTACGCGGCGAAGTTTTCGCGCGCTTCCACTCAGTCATCAAGACACATGTTCACTCATGTAACTCCGTCACAAGCCGAGTGTTGACGAAGAAATCAACGACTGCACAAGATTCTACAAGGATCATTTTCCTGCAACACTGGTGACATCACAGTCACATGCCAGGAAGTCGTCTACAGTTGTAAACAACTCTTTCAACGTGGGAAAGGCTCCATTTACAGTCCAGTTAGCAGGGTACAGCGTGGTTCGACTATCTTCACGGGTCATAGAGGACTTCTCCTGTCAGCAGATTTAATATTGGTTATCTGGGGACTTGCAGCGACAAGCGTGAGACGGTTTCTACTCGCAGCCGATCGACTATAAACAGACTTCACAAGGATGGCAGTCCCAGTACATCATAGATTTTTGCCGACATAGAGACGACGTATAATGCATCATCGCTGCATAATGTTCGGATTCTGGTGACAACATCTTCTTTACATATTACCGGAAGATTGATGAGACAAGCTTCAAGCCATGATTCCAGAATGGATCATCTCTCCGCTTCCATGTCGGACATGGCAAGGGCTCCTAGATCCACGTACCTACAATGTAGGACATGATTGTAGTAGATGGGTAGTATAATCTCCTTATCGGAGTTGGAACCAAAACAGGATCTTCAATTGCTGGGAATATGGCTCATCACACCACAGAATCACACAGTCGTCCCAGAGGATCGTTGGGTCAAGATACAACATATGATATCTCAAGCAATGCTCTCTCCGTTGACACTACGTGCTTGGCAAAGCATGCTTGGTCTACTCACCTCAGCTCAAGACATGACTCGCAGAGGGAGACTACAGCTGCGCCCACTACAAATATTTGTGAATGCCCGTCTCAACAGTCTGGATCCACTGATAGTAGCAGACAGTTTGAAACCATACCTCGTATGGTGGACTCGGAAGTCGAATGTTTGTGGAGGATCCTTTTTGTCAGAGCCGGTTTGCAACACTCATCTCTACGTAGATGCATCGCTACAAGGATGGGGTGCCCACCTCGACAACGAAGTGGCAGCAGGGAAGTGGTCGAGTCAGGATCAGAGTCTGCACATCAACTTGTTGGAGATGGAAGCAGTGATCAACGCTTTACAACACTGGTCCAGCGTACTAAAGAACGCAAGACTCATGGTCCACACGGACAACTCCACAGTGGCATTCTACATCAACAAGGATCAACAAGATCAATAAGTCTGCTACAACTCAGCTTTCTCCTGTTCATCATCGTCGACGACCTGAACATCTACATGAAGGTAGGCCACATTCCAGGAGCAAAGAATGTCATAGCAGACGCCCTATCTCATCCACTACAACCATCTCCAACGGAATGGATGTTACACCCAGAAGCTTTCCGGTTCATCATACAGACAATAGGATCTCCACTGGTAGACCTGTTTGCAACAAGCAACTACCAACATTCGCCTCTCCGATTCGATCCTCAGGCATGGGCCACAGCGCTTTAAGCATCTCATGTGAAGGACTAAATGCTTATGCGTTTCCACCTCCTGCACTACTACCACAAGTAATACAGAAAATCAAGCAGACGACAACGCTACAACTGATTTTGGTCGTGCCCTATTGGCCAGCGAGGGTATGGTTTCCCATCCTCATACATGAACTCGGAAGTCCAACCCTGAAACTACCAGAGTGGTCAACCTGCTCAGTCCATCCCCACACCAAGCAAGCTCACGGGAACCGCATTATTCCAGCTACACGCTGCGTGTGATCAAAGCTTGCCTGAAGACTAGAGGGTACTCCGCCAGAGCAGCGAAAGCAGTAACACTAGCTCTACAATCAACTCATCGCAACTGGCAGTGGCAGAGATTTGAATAGTATGCAAAGAGGAAAGGCTTTACAGCAGTAAAAGCAACCCATCCTCAAGTGGCTGAATACCTGTGTCATCTGCGACAGACGAGACACTTAAAAGGTTCAACACTCTCAACGTACTTGGCTACTCTCAGCACAGTTATCACCATGAAGACGGGTGTCAAGCTGACCAAAGTACCAGAGATACTGGCACTAATATGCTCGTTCAAGTTGGAAGACCAACAAAAGAAATTCAAGGCTCCTGCCTGGGATCTCAACATAGTTCTACAACATCTCACCAGTGATGCCTACGAGCCTCTAGAACGGACATCCTTTGAACTACTGACTCAGAAAATGCTGTTTCTGATCGCCCTAGCAACAGCAGCACGGATGTCAGAAATACATGCTCTGGACTTCGAACGAACACGATTTGAATCATCACATCGTGACGTCGTACATCTAGGACTGAGATGGTATTTCATTGCCAAGAACCAACTGCCCGGCCAGCCTGACAGACAGTTCCACATCCCAGCACTCTCTACAGTCCTTGGGCCACAGGATACACAGGATCTATCCTTATGCCCTGTCAGAGCACTAAAAGTCTACCTACAAAGGACAAAAATAAGGAGACGAAAATTCAAGCGCCTATTCATCCCCTTATCCACTGAGACGCCCACGGAAGTCTCTCTTACAACGATATCAATCTGGATGAGAGCCGTTATACTAAGGGCCTATAAAGCAGCAGGACTTGAGCCTCCACGAGCCTCCAATCCACATGAAGTCAGAGCCCTGGCGTCAAAACTTGCTCTGCATGGAAACTGCTCGATTACAACTATAATGGAGGGCTGCTTTTGGAGATCGAACACGGTGTTTGCCAACCACTACCTCAGAGACATTGCCACCGAAGACGTCTCAGGCATTCACCAGTTTGGGCCACTTGTTGTAGCACAACAACTAATGGTTCCACAAAGGCGCTGAGAAAATCTCACCCTTTTTATCACGTGACTTGTGAAAACCAACGCTCTGGAGAGGAAATGGTTAAAGTCCATGCACACGTCTAGGACAGACAAGCATGAGTGATAGACCCTGTACTTGTATAGGACATACTCGTACATGAAGAAGGGTCGCATCTCCACTTGATGCGTGCATCAAGAAATGGAGTTGCAATAGATAACTAATGGAAAATTAGTATATCTAAAATCCACACGAAAATGTCAGGAAAAGTTTTTTAAAAGGGAACTTGAAGGGATTTCAAGTGTTCCACTATCATTCGCAAGAGGAAGGAGACAAGCGTAATTAGCATGAGTCAGGATAAGTATAAAATATCAATTTTAGTCAGAAAATTACATTTTCCATGATATCCTGATGTCAAATGTTTATGTTACTTCAAGTGAGTGAGTGAGTATGGTTTTACGCCGCTTTTAGCAATATTCCTGCAATATCATGGTGGGGGACACTAGAAATGGGCTTCACACATTGTACCCATGTGGGGAATCGAACCTGAGTCTCCGGCGTGATGAACGAACGCTTTAACCACTAGACTACCCCACCACCCCATGTTACTTCAAGACAACAGGAAAACAACATGAGACTAAACAAGATAGAGAACATTATCCAATGCCCAGACAATTAGACAATTTATGTAACTGAGCATTAATACACAATAAACAAATATCATATCACTTCAGCCACGAAACATCAATTTGCATACAGTAAAATCTTGCTGACCAGGTACTGTGGTCCTTATAATCATCATTTTATGCCTGTGAACAAATTACAATATTACCTACACGTTAGTATTGATTTTAAGTTCTATAAATATATATATATCACAGGCCACAACACTGTTCATGAAGTTTTTGAAGCTATTTATCTTGGTTATCTACAAACACTGTCACAGTCTGAAGAGCTTGTTGTGAGACTTCAGCCCACTAGCCTGTTTGTCTTACATCTAAACATCTCCTCTGAAACCTCTTCAACAATGATGACCCCCATGTTTGTTCAAGAGATCCTTATCTGAAGACATGTAAATGTATTGCATGTCTTTCAGTGTCCTTCTACTGTTGGAGATGAAAAGAAGTATAACCCATTCCTGAGAACCGGTGAACAGTCTGTGCTGGCCCAAATGGGCATTTTAAACAAGGAGAACTTTTCAACCCCAACAAACCAAGTCAGGGCCCAGGCTCTGGGGGAAATCCGTGAGAGGAAGGACAAGTTCAAGTACAAACTGTGATCCTCGATGTTACAGCTGATACTGGTTTACTCCTCTGGACCAAACACCCTGTTGTACAAGGTTGTCTAAGTTGTTGCCTCACATGTTTTTTACATTAACACACATCAACTCTTTTTAGCCCAGAGACAGTTTTGTGCAACATGGAGCTGGCCCCAGGGGTCATCTCACAGCAATAGCATAGCAACATGTGGAGAATGAAATACGTCCAAGAACATGATTCTAGTGTTATGTTGGAAATGTAATATCTCTCATTTATTTTATACCAAAAGTGACAATGAATTTGATTATCCTTATGTTAGCAGCTTTATTTTTGTTAGATATTGATAAAATGGCACTGGGTTTTTTTTTGCTGCCTCAAAGTATCATTGATCTGGAAAAAGATCAAGTTTGAGCTTGCCTGTGTCAAAGGCTATGTAGTTGTGTACTGTTTTTCTGTCTACCTGTCTGTCCATACTTTAACATTCTCAACAATTAAAGCCCAAATATTTTAAAATAAGATTACAGCAGTAGTGTCTGGAAACTGATTACTATATACATGTCATAGCAGGTTAGAACTGGCCCCTAACAACCTATGCTGGTCATAAGGGGTGACTGATTGGATGGTCAGACTTGAAGACATGGATTGTTCCCTACAATCTAAGTCACTGGATTATCTGGACCAGACTGAAATATTTCAAAGCCACTTTCATATAGTTGGAATACCGCAAGAGTTCAGGGTTAGCTACACACAAAAAACACCTCCCATGGTACCTATATTCAAAATGTAATTTTTGTTCAAACACTGTTTCCATATTTGCATGAATCATGATGAAATTTTGTATGAAGTATGCAGTATGGAATATTTCCGTAGTGACCTTTCGACCCAGTGATGTGAACTATGCCAAAATGTTCATTTTTGAGTATATTTTTAGCTCCAGTTTTTAATAACACAGTTTTTTAATTCAGATAGGAAGCAGAGATGCCAACCATTGATTTTGGCAGAATCTTTAAGAAACCTTGCACCTAATTTCCCCCAAATGTTTGTATGATATTTGTTTTGTCAATTTTGAAAGAATCTTTAAAATACTTTGCACCTAATTCCGCAATATATTGAAGTTGGTTTTTTTCATGTTTTGTCGAAATAATAACTTCTCACATGTTAACTAGATATTGACCGACAGTATCAGTCAGTCATTGTCACAGGTACAGCCATATAATCAATTATTTGGATAATACCCTACTGCAGTTAATTTTAACTCCTCAAAACATGTCAACCTTTCACACACAAGACTCGATCCACTGCAGTAAGATATTATCCACTGCAGTAGCATATTATCCACTGCAGTAGGGTGTTATCCACTTATCTGCTGCATCCAGCAATGCAGCATCACAGTATTTGTACCCTATTTGTACCTTGTCAACATTGTGGTATTTGTACCCATTGTCCAGACCCTGTCAAGATTGTGGTATTTGTACCCCATTGCCCATCTGACATGTGTCGAGTTGTTATATGGTTAAACACTTGTCCAAATATGATGAACATTTCTAAGATATATGTTTTGGTCTTTTGTAAAACCTTCATAATATTTCATGTCTGTTTGCAAATGTGTTGATATTCCTGTTAATATGTTAATGTATGGTGAGATATATATTCTGTATATTCACTATGTATGCTTCAATACTCACAGTCTAACATGACATCTATTTTATCATGTTTGAAACACATAACATATGGAATTTCCATGTTGAATAGTGGGGATTTTTTGTTTCAAGTCTAACAGATTAATACCCTTTTACATTTTTTATCATTTTGTCTTCACAAACCTCAATATATTTTGAATGTAAAATGTTTCTATGCAAAGATTAAAAATATGATATTTAAAATGTCATGTTGCCCTCCCAAAATCTTTTTTGTTTGTACAGCTTCAGTTGTCACAGATCAGTAAAACCTTTACCAGACCAGTGTTTGACAATGGTCATGCCCGGTACATCCTCAGACCAGTTTGAGCCAGACAAGTATAGCATGTACCGGTACAACAGACATGTCAACTACGCCCTGCCATCAGTGTGAGCCATCACAGACGAGTAGAGCTTGTACAACAGACTTGTCAGTTACGTCCTCAGACCAGTTTGAGTTGTCACAAACGAGTAGTGCATACAGACATGTCAACTACGCCCTGCCATCGGTTTGAGCCATCACAGACGAGTAGAGCTTGTACAACAGACTTGTCAGTTACGTCCTCAGACCAGTTTGAGTTGTCACAAACGAGTAGTGCATACAGACATGTCAACTACGCCCTGTCATCGGTTTGAGCCATCACAGACGAGTAGAGCTTGTACAACAGACTTGTCAGTTACGTCCTCAGACCCGTTTGAGTTGTCACAAACGAGTAGTGCATACAGACATGTCAACTACGCCCTGTCATCGGTTTGAGCCATCACAGACGAGTAGAGCTTGTACAACAGACTTGTCAGTTACGTCCTCAGACCCGTTTGAGTTGTCACAAACGAGTAGTGCATACAGACATGTCAACTACACCCTGCCATCAGTGTGAGCCATCACAGACGAGTAGAGCTTGTACAGTGGTTATGTCAGTTACGTCCTCAGACCAGTTTGAGTTGTCACAAACGAGTAGTGCATACAAACATGTCAACTACACCCTGCCATCAGTGTGAGCCATCACAGACGAGTAAAGCTTGTACAGTGGTTATGTCAGTTACGTCCTCAGACCAGTTTGAGTTGTCACAAACGAGTAGTGCATACAAACATGTCAACTACACCCTTCCATCAGTGTGAGCCATCACAGACGAGTAGAGCTTGTACAGTGGTTATGTCAGTTACGTCCTCAGACCAGTTTGAGTTGTCACAAACGAGTAGTGCATACAGACATGTCAACTACGCCCTGCCATCAGTGTGAGCCATCACAGATGAGTAGAGCTTGTACAACAGACTTGTCAGTTTTTCCCTACCATGGTTTTCAGTTTGGAGATGAGATGTTCTGATGAACTTTATTAAAGAAAAGGACTGGTCAGTTTCAGATACACTCTCCGGTGTTCAAATAGTGCTGATATCACTTAAAGATAACAAAACCTGGTGTGCTATGAGGGCCTTGGCACAAAGTAGTTATTGTGCTTCAAGTGTCATTACGTCTTTGTTGAAGCTCTGTGAGCTAGTCCAGAGTAAGCGAGTAAGATGTAAGTGGTGTATCTAGTGGTGCTCAATGTCCTTGTGGGAAAACAAACAGAAAAGCTTTGTCCTGAGCCAATGCAATTAGCACTGGACTGCCCTACTAACCCTTGAACAACCGGATAAAAGTAACACAGTTAACAATGTTACCAGTACTGGAAGTAAAACAGAGTAGTACTGCACTGGTTTGTTAACTGACTTTCAGCAGGACAATCTGTAGTAACCTTTCAGCCTACATTTGCCTATATATAGCAGATATTAGCAGTACATGAAACAAAGCCTAATAAACCTGCTCAAAGGAAGGGTAAGAAATATTAATGCACAAGACTTGATTTACAAAGTACCTGTTTCCATCAGAGATAGTCCTGCTCTAGCAAGATGTCTCTGTAGAGCATGGGGGAATCAAGTACTGAATACTACCATGAAGAAAGACATGTTTGAGGATGTCTATTAATTGTTCCTTATTGCACTGTGGGACACAAGACATTTTGGGATTCGTCACATGGGACACACTGGAACCCAGGTTAAGTGAAATGTTGGAAAGTATACGCCTTGAAATTAATTTTAAAATTCTGAGGTAAAGAGAAGAAGGTTGGAGGCTGGCTGTACTTGCTCCTGAGTTTAAGGATTTAGAGTATCTTCATGAAATATCATTAAGAGTCATTTACACCCAATTATGCAATATTTTAGGCTCATAGTTACTATGGTTTCCATTTTCATTCAGTTGAAGTACTGTCAACACTGAATTTTTCATGCCATTAACATATCTATGATTGTCATCATTATCTGTGTTTTTTAACCCAAAAGTACATAAATCTGTACTTTTACTAAGACAGTGTAATCTCAAATATAAAGATGTTCAGGTGATATGACCATAAGAAATTTGAAGTTTCTTTTAGGCCTTATGATCAACCATGATCCCTGCAAGGTTGACACTGTTGTACCAAGGGAGCTGAACATAAATGTTTTTAAAAACATATTGAGCGACTGATTTCCCAATTATATACTAGTATTGACACACGGTATATGTTACCAGTAGATACTAGTTAGCATAACATTAAACCATGTGAATGTTAAAACTGTTGCGTTTGTCATGATTTCATTGATCAAGAGGAGGAACAAGTGATCACCTTAATGATCGGTATCTATGTTTAATGTGTATCTGAAGTACAGTTGGTGTAAGTTGGAAAGATCTTTATTTGAAGGATGGATAGAGAACTTTGAGGACTGGACTTGCACGCTGCCCACGCTTCCCGACGATTGTACCTACAATATACAGCATGTGAATTTGAGGCAAAACCCAGAACAGGACACGTATGTATTTCATTATTGCCATGAAGAATAATAGAGGGCTCTTGGCTGGACTATTTTCAGGTACCTATGAATGAATTGGAGCCAAAGGAGTTATTTAAAGAATGTGCATTTAGACCAGTGATCCAGCAGTTCATGACAGTTTGGAGATGGCATTGTAAGAACACCATCTTTAGAATGCTGTAGGAGGTACCAGCGCAGTTGGTGTCTGAGACGCACGACTTGATGGTGGGGTTACAGAGGCCCCTGTTTACCTGTGTTGGAGGCAGCACACTCAGCATCCCAGTCTGTGGGAACCATGTCTTTGGTGAGAGACACAAAGTTGGTCAGCGGGCACTGGGACGAACAACCTAGACAGAAATCCATGAACACGTTGTACAGAGACTACATGTTATTGATACAGAGACTACAAGTGTTATTTTACATGGACAAGATGTGCTATGTGTGCAGTGCCAAGAGAGGTTATTTAAGCCTGAGATCTGTTGCAAGAGGTTTTTATTGGTACAAGGGTGAAATTTGTTATTCGTGTTGGGGCAAGGGGTGTTATTGGTACAGGGATGAGATGTATTACTATTATAGAAAATAGATGTGTTGTTCGTACAAAGACATAGTGAGTCCCACCTGGTATCGTGAGTTGATGAGGCTGTGTGTCATCGTTAGGGTCTGTGGAGGACACATTCCTGTAGTACAGCTCCACGTGGAAGACTCCAGACGTGGCTTCATGCAGCTCCATGAACAATGTTGAGGTGTAGGGTGGGATCAGGTTATTGTAGAGCTTCAACGCACTCAGTACCGACACTACGGTGGAGTCATGCTAAGCAAGAAGGTGACATATTAACATACAACTACAATAGATAGTATACTGTAATGAATGGCATAAAGACACCATTTCTGCCAGACATTGCAACTGAACCGTCAAAGGCCATGACCCTGAATATGTTTCGAAGTTTATCACATTCATGCCCGTGCACAACTGATTAAATATATGCCATAAATTCATAGTTTTCGTCAACTTTGATACTATTTTCTTCATATAAAAGTTATTAGGAAGTAATATTTCTGATAAATGTATCTATTTAAACGAATTTTTGCTTAGCAATACATCAAGTCACATTAGTCTTTCTTTCATTTTTGATTTTCTTCCGTGTGAGGAGATGGTCCACTTTTGAAAGATGCTGTTGAACTGAAAATTCCTCCTCCTTTGTACTGTGCCCACAGAGCAATTTGACCAACACACGGACAATTTGACCAAAAATCCGGGGCAATTTGTAGATGGAGCAAATCGACTGGTACCCTGTGTGCCAATGTATAGTATTGGTTAAATGTATGGATCGTTATGTATTTGTGTAATTATCCGGTTCTGTGTTACTCTATTTAAATGTGTGTATGAAACCGAGACTTTTAAAAAGAAGCATTAATTTGACCAACACGCGGACAATTTGACCAAAAATCCGGGGCAATTTGTAGCTGGAGCAAATCGTCTGGTACCCTGTGTGCCAATGTATAGTTTTGGTTAAATGTATGGATCGTTATGTATTTGTGTAATTATGTGGCTCTGTGTTACTCTATTTAAATGTGTGTATGAAACCGAGACTTTTAAAAAGAAGTATTAATTTGACCAACACGCGGACAATTTGACCAAAAATCCGGGGCAATTTGTAGCTGGAGCAAATCGACTGGTACCCTGTGTGCCAATGTATAGTATTGGTTAAATGTATGGATCGTTATGTATTTGTGTAATTATGTGGCTCTGTGTTACTCTATTTAAATGTGTGTATGAAACCGAGACTTTTAAAAAGAAGCATTAATTTGACCAACACGCGGACAATTTGACCAAAAATCCGGGGCAGTTTGTAGCTGGAGCAAATCGACTGGTACCCTGTGTGCCAATGTATAGTATTGGTTAAATGTATGGATCGTTATGTATTTGTGTAATTATCTGGCTCTGTGTTACTCTATTTAAATGTGTGTATGAAACCGAGACTTTTAAAAAGAAACATAAATTTGACCAACACGCGGACAATTTGACCAAAAATCCGGGGCAGTTTGTAGCTGGAGCAAATCGACTGGTACCCTGTGTGCCAATGTAAAGTATGGGTTAAATGTATGGATCGTTATGTATTTGTGTAATTATCTGGCTCTGTGTTGCTCTATTTAAATGTGAGTATAAAACCGAGACTTTTAAAAAAGCATTAATTTGACCAACACGCGGACAATTTCACTCAAAATCCGGGGCAGTTTGTAGCTGGAGCAAATCGACTGGTACCCTGTGTGCCAATGTATAGTTTTGGTTAAATGTATGGATCGTTATGTATTTGTGTAATTATGTGGCTCTGTGTTACTCTATTTAAATGTGAGTATGAGTTACCTATTTAAATGTGAGTATGAAACCGAGACTTTTAAAAAGAAGCATTAAGTTTCATTTCCATCTGGTTGTTCACTGGACTTAAAGTAGAACTTCCCCGAGATACTGGTTAACCTGACTCTGATATATATGATTATCCAAAGTTGCCGAGGAACAAGGAACGAATATATCACATTACAACCACTACCGAAACAGACTCTCCGCGGGTTAACCCTTATCAAGACTGCAGTCCTGCTACAACTACTACAACTACTACAACCCTTATCAAGACTGCAGTCCTGCTACAACAGTCCTGCTACAACTACTACAACCCAAGACTGCAGTCCTGCTACAGCTACTACTACACTAATATATCAAGACTGCAGTCCTGCTAAACAGACTGCAGACTGCAGTCCATGCTACAACTGACTACACAAGAATGCTACACACTTTAACGGCCAAACATCCCAGAAGAACTTAGTTTACAAACTACCTGGGTCTACTTACAGCAGAGAACACATTCATCTTGGTGGAGATGGTCTTAGTCGCGACTTTCTGTTGAGCCAGGTCTATCCACTTCTTCACTAGAGGACCTGCAAGCACAAAGATCCTGTCAGGTCTAGGACTAGATGGATGACTTCACGTGGCATATCTCCAGAAATGGTATGAGAGAGCGGGAAGATAAAAATCTCATGCTAAACAAACATAGCCATTCAGCATTCCCAAACACACTACCAGAAGGGGTAGTCTTGACCTACAGGATGGGCAGTTTCCGTCACCTCAACAAGTCATGCATAAGCAATATTCCAGCTATATGGCGGCGGTCTGTACATAATCGAGTCTGGACCAGACAATGTAATGAACAACGTCATAGAGCACGACGATGTACCATGTCAGTCAAGACACTGAGTCAGCTGGCCTGACCACTAGATCCAAGGGTCGCCCTTTACAAGCTTGGGTTTTTTTTACCTAAGACCAATTCATACCAGGACCTTCACGGGTCGGGTCGGTATGTAAATTGGTGAGTACAGGAAGGAATACAAGCAGTTGGAAGTAAACCTAAAAAATAACTTACAGTGTGCGGCAAATTGATGCAGCGGGGGGTCACTTTACATATTTCCAAAAATGTTCTAAAATTCATTAAAATTAGTTTAAACAATGTATTCGATAAACAAAACAATGTCAATATCCTGCATGACCGCCATAAGCATTAATGCACCTTTGCACCCGCCGTCTCATTAAATATGTCAAGCGCGAGATGGTTGCATTTGAGATATTCTGCCATCCTCAAGTAGGGCTTGTTCAATTTGCTGCAGACTAACTAACTAACTATCTTTGCTGACTCGTGTGCCAAGAACATGCAGTCCGAATCAAAACTAATCATCACCTCCTTTCAAACGACCCACGTTGTCATGGAACAGAAGATCGAAGCCAATTTGTTCGAGGTCTCTGGCTTTAGCGTAGATGGTATCATTAACCCATGCTGGCCAAGTAATATTGTGAACTTTCTGAAATACAATATTAATATCATTTCGACAGATGGTATAGCATTACAGATACGTCAACGGTCATACAAAATGTACAAACAGATATGAAATATGACAAAAATATTGTACTGAAATCCCGATATGTTTTTTTAGATAAAGTGTGTCTCCTATTTGCAGAACGTCATGCACTGGGATCAATCTCACAATGAAGGGTGTCCACTATTTACAAAACGTCCTGCACTTTGACCAATCTCACAATGAAGTATGTCCGCTATTTACAGAACGTCATGCACTGTGACCAATCTCACAATGAAGTATGTCCGCTTTTAGCAGAACGCCATGCACTGTGACCAATCTCACAATGAGGTGTGTCCACTATTTACAGAACGCCATGCACTGTGGCCAATCTCACAATGAAGGGTGTCCAATATTCGTAGAGGTTCATGCACTTTGACCAATCTCACAATGAAGTGTGTCCACTATTTACAAAACGTCATGCACTGCGACCAATCTCACAATGAAGTATGTCCGCTTTTAGCAGAACGCCATGCACTGTCAACAATCTCACAATGAAGTGTGTCCGCTTGTAGCAGAACGCCATGCACTGTCACCTATCTCACAATGAAGTGTGTCCGCTTTTAGCAGAACGCCATGCACTGTGACCCATCTCACAATGAAGTGTGTCCGCTTTTAGCAGAACGTCATGCACTGTGACCAGTCCACTATTCGTAGAACGCCATGCACTGTGACCAATCTCACAATGAAGTGTGTCCACTATTTACAGAACGCCATGCACTGTGACCAATCTCACAATGAAGGGTGTCCGCTATTTGCAGAACGTCATGCACTGTGACCAATCTCACAATGAAGGGTGTCCGCTATTTGCAGAACGTCATGCACTGTGACCAATCTCACAATGAAGTGTGTCCACTATTTGTAGAACGTCATGCACTGTGACCAATCTCACAATGAAGTGTGTCCACTATTTACAGAACGCCATGCACTGTGACCTATCTCACAATGAAGGGTGTCCGCTATTTGCAGAACGTCATGCACTGTGACCAATCTCACAATGAAGGGTGTCCGCTATTTGCAGAACGTCATGCACTGTGACCTATCTCACAATGAAGGGTGTCCGCTATTTGCAGAACGCCATGCACTGTGACCAATCTCACAATGAAGGGTGTCCACTATTTGCAGAACGTCATGCACTGTGACCTATCTCACAATGAAGGGTGTCCGCTATTTGCAGAACGTCATGCACTGTCACCTATCTCACAATGAAGGGTGTCCGCTATTTGCAGAAATGTGTGGCCTACCTCGCAATACAGTGTGTCTGCTACAGGCAATATGTCACGCACATTGAATGGTTTGAAACCTGTTTCTCTGCTAAGTAACTGCAAGAATTCCTGAAACAAGAAAGAAATATATGCACTTAATTCAAATGTATACTCTATTGTTAGACCCCAAGAAAACATAATTCGTCTCAACGTTGATAGTCATACATCTATTTATTCTCCTCTTAGAACCCGAGAGATGATGATATGTCTCAATGCTGATAGTCAGACATATATTCTCCTCTTAGAACCCGAGAGATGATGATATGTCTCAATGCTGATAGTCAGACATATATTCTCCCCTAAGGACACGAAAGACGATGATATGTCTCAATGCTGATAGTCAGACATATATTCTCCCCTAAGGACACGAGAGATGATGATATGTCTCAATGCTGATAGTCAGACATATATTCTCCCCTAAGGACCGAGAGATGATGATATGTCTCAATGCTGATAGTCAGATATATATTCCCCTAAGGACACTAGAGATGATGATATGTCTCAATGCTGATAGTCAGACATATATTCTCCCCTAAGGACACGAGAGATGATGATATGTCTCAATGCTGATAGTCAGACATATATTCTCCCCTAAGGACACGAGAGATGATGATATGTCTCAATGCTGATAGTCAGACATATATTCTCCCCTTAGAACCCGAGAGATGATGATATGTCTCAATGCTGATAGTCAGACATATATTCTCCCCTTAGAACCCGAGAGATGATGATATGTCTCAATGCTGATAGTCAGACATATATTCTCCCCTAAGGACACGAGAGATGATGATATGTCTCAATGCTGATTGTCAGACATATATTCTCCCCTTAGAACCCGAGATGATGATGATGTCTCAATGCTGATAGTCAGACATATATTCTCCCTTAGAACCCGAGAGATGATGATATGTCTCAATGCTGATAGTCAGACATATATTCTCCCCTAAGGACACGAGAGATGATGATATGTCTCAATGCTGATAGTCAGACATATATTCTCCCCTAAGGACACGAGAGATGATGATATGTCTCAATGCTGATAGTCAGACATATATTCTCCCGTAAGGACACGAGAGATGATGATATGTCTCAATGCAGATAGTCAGACATATATTCTCCCCTAAGGACCGAGAGATGATGATATGTCTCAATGCTGATAGTCAGACATATATTCTCCCCTAAGGACACGAGAGATGATGATATGTCTCAATGCTGATAGTCAGACATATATTCTCCCCTAAGGACCGAGAGATGATGATATGTCTCAATGCTGATAGTCAGACATATATTCTCCCCTAAGGACCGAGAGATGATGATATGTCTCAATGCTGATAGTCAGACATATATTCTCCCCTAAGGACACGAGAGATGATGATATGTCTCAATGCAGATAGTCAGACATATATTCTCCCCTAAGGACACGAGAGATGATGATATGTCTCAATGCTGATAGTCAGACATATATTCTCCCCTAAGGACACGAGAGATGATGATATGTCTCAATGCTGATAGTCAGACATATATTCTCCTCTTAGAACCCGAGAGATGATGATATGTCTCAATGCTGATAGTCAGACATATATTCTCCTCTTAGAACCCGAGAGATGATGATATGTCTCAATGCTGATAGTCAGACATATATTCTCCTAAGGACACGAGAGAGATGATGATATGTCTCAATGCTGATAGTCAGACATATATTCTCCCCTAAGGACACGAGAGATGATGATATGTCTCAATGCTGATAGTCAGACATATATTCTCCTCTTAGAACCCGAGAGATGATGATATGTCTCAATGCTGATAGTCAGACATATATTCTCCTCTTAGAACCCGAGAGATGAAGATATGTCTCAATGCTGATAGTCAGACATATATTCTCCCCTAAGGACCGAGAGATGATGATATGTCTCAATGCTGATAGTCAGACATATATTCTCCCCTAAGGACCGAGAGATGATGATATGTCTCAATGCTGATAGTCAGACATATATTCTCCCCTAAGGACACTAGAGATGATGATATGTCTCAATGCTGATAGTCAGACATATATTCTCCCCTAAGGACACGAGAGATGATGATATGTCTCAATGCTGATAGTCAGACATATATTCTCCCCTAAGGACACGAGAGATGATGATATGTCTCAATGCTGATAGTCAGACATATATTCTCCCCTTAGAACCCGAGAGATGATGATATGTCTCAATGCTGATAGTCAGACATATATTCTCCCCTTAGAACCCGAGAGATGATGATATGTCTCAATGCTGATAGTCAGACATATATTCTCCCCTAAGGACACGAGAGATGATGATATGTCTCAATGCTGATAGTCAGACATATATTCTCCCCTTAGAACCCGAGAGATGATGATATGTCTCAATGCTGATAGTCAGACATATATTCTCCCCTAAGGACACGAGAGATGATGATATGTCTCAATGCTGATAGTCAGACATATATTCTCCCCTAAGGACCGAGAGATGATGATATGTCTCAATGCTGATAGTCAGACATATATTCTCCCTAAGGACACGAGAGATGATGATATGTCTCAATGCAGATAGTCAGACATATATTCTCCCCTAAGGACACGAGAGATGATGATATGTCTCAATGCTGATAGTCAGACATATATTCTCCCCTAAGGACACGAGAGATGATGATATGTCTCAATGCTGATAGTCAGACATATATTCTCCCCTAAGGACCGAGAGATGATGATATGTCTCAATGCTGATAGTCAGACATATATTCTCCCTAAGGACACGAGAGATGATGATATGTCTCAATGCAGATAGTCAGACATATATTCTCCCCTAGGACACGAGAGATGATGATATGTCTCAATGCTGATAGTCAGACATATATTCTCCCCTAAGGACACGAGAGATGATGATATGTCTCAATGCTGATAGTCAGACATATATTCTCCTCTTAGAACCCGAGAGATGATGATATGTCTCAATGCTGATAGTCAGACATATATTCTCCCTTAGAACCCGAGAGATGATGATATGTCTCAATGCTGATAGTCAGACATATATTCTCCCTAAGGACCGAGATGATGATATGTCTCAATGCTGATAGTCAGACATATATTCTCCCTAAGGACCGAGAGATGATGATATGTCTCAATGCTGATAGTCAGACATATATTCTCCCTAAGGACACGAGAGATGATGATATGTCTCAATGCTGATAGTCAGACATATATTCTCCCCTAAGGACACGAGAGATGATGATATGTCTCAATGCTGATAGTCAGACATATATTCTCCCCTAAGGACACGAGAGATGATAATATGTCTCAATGCTGATAGTCAGACATATATTCTCCTCTTAGAACCCGAGAGATGATGATATGTCTCAATGCTGATAGTCAGACATATATTCTCCCCTAAGGACATGAGAGATGATAATATGTCTCAATGCTGATAGTCAGACATATATTCTCCTCTTAGAACCCGAGAGATGATGATATGTCTCAATGCTGATAGTCAGACATATATTCTCCCCTAAGGACACGAGAGATGATGATATGTCTCAATGCTGATAGTCAGACATATATTCTCCCCTAAGGACCGAGAGATGATGATATGTCTCAATGCTGATAGTCAGACATATATTCTCCCCTAAGGACACGAGAGATGATGATATGTCTCAATGCTGATAGTCAGACATATATTCTCCCCTAAGGACACGAGAGATGATGATATGTCTCAATGCTGATAGTCAGACATATATTCTCCCCTAAGGACACTAGAGATGATGATATGTCTCAATGCTGATAGTCAGACATATATTCTCCCCTAAGGACACGAGAGATGATGATATGTCTCAATGCAGATAGTCAGACATATATTCTCCCCTAAGGACACGAGAGATGATGATATGTCTCAATGCTGATAGTCAGACATATATTCTCCCCTAAGGACACGAGAGATGATAATATGTCTCAATGCTGATAGTCAGACATATATTCTCCTCTTAGAACCCGAGAGATGATGATATGTCTCAATGCTGATAGTCAGACATATATTCTCCCCTAAGGACACGAGAGATGATGATATGTCTCAATGCAGATAGTCAGACATATATTCTCCCCTAAGGACACGAGAGATGATGATATGTCTCAATGCTGATAGTCAGATATATATTCTCCCCTAAGGACACGAGAGATGATGATATGTCTCAATGTTGATAGTCAGACATATATTCTCCCCTAAGGACACGAGAGATGATGATATGTCTCAATGCTGATAGTCAGACATATATTCTCCCCTAAGGACACGAGAGATGATGATATGTCTCAATGCTGATAGTCAGACATATATTCTCCCCTAAGGACACGAGAGATGATGATATGTCTCAATGCTGATAGTCAGATATATATTCTCCCCTAAGGACACGAGAGATGATGATATGTCTCAATGTTGATAGTCAGACATATATTCTCCCCTAAGGACACGAGAGATGATGATATGTCTCAATGCTGATAGTCAGACATATATTCTCCTCTTAGAACCCGAGAGATGATGATATGTCTCAATGCTGATAGTCAGACATATATTCTCCCCTAAGGACACGAGAGATGATGATATGTCTCAATGCTGATAGTCAGATATATATTCTCCCCTAAGGACCGAGACATGATGATATGTCTCAATGCTGATAGTCAGACATATATTCTCCCCTAAGGACCGAGACATGATGATATGTCTCAATGTTGATAGTCAGATATATATTCTCCCCTAAGGACCGAGACATGATGATATGTCTCAATGTTGATAGTCAGACATATATTCTCCCCTAAGGACACGAGAGATGATGATATGTCTCAATGCTGATAGTCAGACATATATTCTCCCCTAAGGACACGAGAGATGATGATATGTCTCAATGCTGATAGTCAGACATATATTCTCCCCTAAGGACACGAGAGATGATGATATGTCTCAATGCTGATAGTCAGACATATATTCTCCCCTAAGGACACGAGAGATGATGATATGTGTCATGGCTGATAGTCAGACATATATTCTCCCCTAAGGACACGAGAGATGATGATATGTCTCAATGCTGATAGTCAGACATATATTCTCCCCTAAGGACACGAGAGATGATGATATGTCTCAATGCTGATAGTCAGACATATATTCTCCTCTTAGAACCCGAGAGATGATGATATGTCTCAATGCTGATAGTCAGACATATATTCTCCCCTTAGAACCCGAGAGATGATGATATGTCTCAATGCTGATAGTCAGACATATATTCTCCCCTTAGAACCCGAGAGATGATGATATGTCTCAATGCTGATAGTCAGACATATATTCTCCCCTTAGAACCCGAGAGATGATAATATGTCTCAATGCTGATAGTCAGACATATATTCTCCCCTAAGGACACGAGAGATGATGATATGTCTCAATGCTGATAGTCAGACATATATTCTCCCCTAAGGACCGAGAGATGATGATATGTCTCAATGCTGATAGTCAGACATATATTTTCCCCTAAGGACACTTGAGAAGATAAGTTTTCTCAGTGTTGTTAGTCAGACTCAATTCTCCCCAATGCTGATAGTCAGACATATATTTACTCTCATGTTTGGGACCGAGAGGAGATAAATCTTCTAAATACTGACAGTAGGACGTATATCTATATTTACCCCCTTCCTATTCCCTAAGACAGGATAGTCGTCTCAATGTAATGTGGTGGAAACTTTGAACTATTTGGACCCGTACTGAGAAAGCGTGTACCTGGTTTCCTGCCATTAGCTGCTTTATGCGGTTAGACGCAAAGTTTGCAGCTTCGATTTGGTCGTATTTCTTGCAGGGCTCCTGCATGGCCAGCATCTGTAATTGAAACATAAATGGCTGCTGGTGTTATGAAGTACATTATAGTCTATGAGTCACTTCTCGTGTTCCACTGGGGCGGTGGGGTGACCTAGTGGTTAAAGCGTTGGCTCGTCACGCTTTAGACCCGGGATCGAATCCCCACATGGGTACAATGTGTGAAGCCCTTTTCTGGTGTCCCCCGCCATCATGTTGCAGGAATATTGCTAAAAGCGGCGTAAAACCAAACTCATTCAGTCAGTCAGTCATGTTCCACTGGTTATAAGTCTGTTTCATACTGTCATGTTATTTAGTGTATGAGTTTACATGGTGTAAGTGACAGTGTTATCTACGTTATCCTCCACTTCTGGTCTGGTGTGGACGGGGATTGGCTGCCAGGGGATGTTGCTGTTCCACACTTGGTCCCCACTTGGAGGGTACAGACCGGCCAGGTTGGAGTAGGCAGACATCAGACACCGGTCCACGTCGGAGCTCTCAACGCGGATCTGAAAAGGCATCAGGTGATTCGATTACTCTGGGGAGAAGGATTTATAGAAGAAAGGTACCTCCCCCATCTTGGTTACGTAAATGTTCAGCTATGCGCAGGTATATGCAGGTACTTGTCATGTGTCACCCACCTCTGTGTGCAGGTACTTGTCATGTGTCACCCACCTCTGTGTGCAGGTACTTGTCATGTGTCACCCACCTCTGTGTGGTACTTGTCATGTGTCACCCACCTCTGTCATGTGTCACCCACCTCTGTGTGCAGGTACTTGTCATGTGTCACCCACCTCTGTGTGCAGGTACTTGTCATGTGTCACCCACCTCTGTGTGCAGGTACTTGTCATGTGTCACCCACCTCTGTGTGCAGGTACTTGTCATGTGTCACCCACCTCTGTGTGCAGGTACTTGTCATGTGTCACCCACCTCTGTGTGCAGGTACTTGTCATGTGTCACCCACCTCTGTGTGCAGGTACTTGTCATGTGTCACCCACCTCTGTGTGCAGGTACTTGTCATGTGTCACCCACCTCTGTGTGCAGGTACTTGTCATGTGTCACCCACCTCTGTGTGCACTTGTCATGTGTCACCCACCTCTGTGTGCAGGTCACTGTGTCATGTGTCACCCACCCCTGTCGTGTCACCCACCTCTGTGTGCAGGTACTTGTCATGTGTCACCCACCTCTGTGTGCAGGTACTTGTCATGTGTCACCCACCTCTGTGTGCAGGTACTTGTCATGTGTCACCCACCTCTGTTTGCAGGTACTTGTCATGTGTCACCTACCTCTGTGTGCAGGTACTTGTCACTGAGAAATCCCGTGTAGCGTCTACGGATGAACCTCCCAAGCGAGTAGTGCTGTTTCATTCCTTCCTGAAAGCCAGTTTATACAATTATATCGTTTCAAGGATGCAATGTATGCCTCTTGTGCGAGATAAGGTATGTTTGGCATGTGACGTACCGTGGTGAGCCATCCTAGTCCCTGAGGCCAGTTCTTGTCGATGGAGTTGAGGTTGTTGGGGTATGTCCGATAGGGGCTGCGATCACCATGTCGATATACCTGGGGTAAAAGAATTGTAATGCGGCAAAGTGTACCCTGTTCTTCATTTTCAATTTCAATCAACAGCCCGCTATAAGTCCAGTATACCATTACTGCAGTCAACATCCTGTACAGGGTCTAGTGTTACCATTACTTCAGTCAACATCCTGTACAGGGTCTAGTGTTACCATTACTGCAGTCAACACCCTGTACAGGGTCTAGTGTTACCATTACTGCAGTCAACACCCTGTACAGGGTCTAGTGTTACCATTACTGCAGTCAACACCCTGTACAGGGTCTAGTGTTACCATTACTGCAGTCAACATCCTGTACAGGGTCTAGTGTTACCATTACTGCAGTCAACATCCTGTACAAGGTCTAGTGTTACCATTACTGCAGTCAACATCCTGTACAGGGTCTAGTGTTACCATTACTGCAGTCAACATCCTGTACATGGTCTAGTGTTACCATTACTGCAGTCAACATCCTGTACAGGGTCTAGTGTTACCATTACTGTCAACATAGGGTCTAGTTTACCATTACTTCAGTCAACATCCTGTACATGGTCTAGTGTTACCATTACTGCAGTCAACATCCTGTACATGGTCTAGTGTTACCATTACTGCAGTCAACATCCTGTACAGGGTCTAGTGTTACCATTACTGCAGTCAACATCCTGTACAGGGTCTAGTGTTACCATTACTGCAGTCAACATCCTGTACAGGGTCTAGTGTTACCATTACTGCAGTCAACATCCTGTACAGGGTCTAGTGTTCCCATTATTGCAGTCAACATCCTGTACAGGGTCTAATGTTCCCATTATTGCAGTCAACATCCTGTACAGGGTCTTGTGATATTATCCGAAGTCAGAACAAGTCTGAACAAACCACAATGTATATCAATTGTTGAGTATTGAACAGTGCAAAGGATGCTGGCAGCCATGTTGGAACCAATTAGAAGTCCAAGTTGACCATGGCCTACTACCAGCATCAGAGGAAAAGCAAATGTTTCTCACCAGATTGACGAGCCTGAGTGTGGGTGAAGCAGCGAGGCTCACAGCCAAGGCACATCCAAGTACTACAGTAAGTATCGTCAACATATCCAGTCTCATGTCGCAGACGGCCTGGCTGCCTTCAGTCACTGAGGTACCATTCCCTGCTGGCCGGTGGATATAATCTCTTATCTTACACCTTGCCTGACGCTATTGGTTAACTGTAGCACTCCGTATCTGTCAAGCTTATCTGGTAAACACGTGTGAAGACGACACGGTGCTCCTGTGCAGCACGCTGCTCAACTCACTCTCCTGTCCAGTTCACATGACTTACACAGTACAACTAATCATTACTTTGACTTCCAGGTATTGTGCCACTGTATGACTCCAGTGCACGCGATGCCAACCGTAAACTGCACACGTCCCCACAGGCTACACTTCACGTCATGAAGTCACATACTGCTTCAGATGGTCTGCTCAGGTCGTCTGAACTTTCCAGACAGCGTTACATTTCCTAACCTTGACCGTTAGCGCAGACGACAGCGTCATTTTGAGTCGTTTTTAGTACTTAGTCAGAGGTGCCAAGTATCTTGTCGGCGATATTGCTTATCTAAGCAGAGATAACTGTATCTAAGCTGAGTGACTTAGTATGAAAAGGGACCAGATATTCTCTGCGGATGAAAATTGACAAAGTTGGCTACCGCACTATGGTCAAATATCAACCACTACAAGAGAGTCGAAGAGTGGGAGAGGGGGATCAACTTCAGCTGCCACATCAAGGAAAATGTTGATAAAATCAATGATATGATTGTGGGTGATCGACTAGTCACCACACGCCAAAGGGAGACGAAAGATTTAATAACGTTATCAGAAATGAACGGTTCATAACAAAAGCTTCAGCACGTTGGATGCCAAGACTTCTGACTCCACATCAGAATTGCCCCAGGTTTGTCATCTGTCGTAAGAACTTACGTCTTGTATAATTGAGGATTGTGAAGAGTAAAAATGGACGAGCCTTTGGTTCATCGCCCTCTGCAAGAAACCGAACAGCAGTCAAAGCTTTGGAGACATTTATCGTCATCCGGAGAGCTGTACCAGAGCATGTAAAGCAGCAACATCATTCCTTACACACTGATTCCAGACACGTCGTGGCATATCACCGAGTATCGTTACGCAGATGCAAAGCTTTTCTCCTCTTCATATGTTCAGACCTACGCACGGAAGTTCATTGTATCGTGTTTTTCTTACATGATTTGATTCTTGCTGACTTTGTCCAACACGCCCTGTAGGCCATTGTTTTAGGCTACATCCAGTAGATTGTGTCATGGATCAGGTACTATGTGCGAGCAGGGTGACAAACTAGGGTAATCTCGGCTTCAGAGTGGCTGTGGGGCGTGCTCTGCAGAGTCGTCCCGAAAGAGAAGCTTCATTATTTCCACTGCGACCGGCACTGTCCATAACCCTAGAACCTTTGTTGTAGCTAATGCGGAGGACCTCAGGTGCAGGTGTGGATTCGTCGTGCGAAGAACTGTTGTAGAGTTCCCATTTCGATGACAGCACAATTGCTGATATTTAGCGAGAGTTCACATGCATACAAAGCAGACGGGAAAATAACTCTTTGCCAGGTATTCGATGAAGATTCTACACTCAATCCTTCCACTCTTAGACCACCAGCTCTGACGAAGTTGTTCACTTGCTTTCTCGGTGCATATCAGACCGCCAGAATAAATCGTACTACTTTAGGTCGTCATTGTCACATCTCCAAGTTTGAAGACAGATCTCTTACAATCTGTTCCGGCATTGTTAGAAGACAGAAGTCTTGAGCGCAGAGCATACTGTTAAACAGTATCATGCGACATGTTGAGTTGACGTGCAGTAGTTCTGCCGTCAGTAGTGACCTTGTAATAACGTATACGTAGGGAAGCGACATTCAGGTCATGAGGAGAAACATCCATGTCGAGTGCACACTATCTTGTCCTACTCTTCAATGAACATTGGACAAATCACTTGCTTTAATAAAGTATTCAATACAGACACGTTCGTCTTGATACACGGGACACAAGTCCGTATTTTACACGAAATAAATGGAAATGTATGCAATGACCGGATTTGTGGGTGATATGAACGAACTGTTGGCGTTCATTTCATGTGAAGTTGCTCATTTGAAAAATGCGCTCAGCGTGTATTACCGAGTGCACAAGCACCATTGTGATGAATGTTATGACCAGGTGACATTTCCAAGCATGAATAGAAAAGCTGATATCCCGGGAAATGCTGATCAAAAGTATTTAAATGTAATGGGTGCTGAAATACCTGACTCGTTTCATAGTTTCAAAGAATTATAAATATGGACATATGGCGATAAAATCTTAAAATGTTAACTTGGTGTGCAAAGTTGAAAATGATATTATACCTCTGTTTCATGTTTCTATTTCTAATTAGCAAGAGTCCGTGTGTCTCCCAAGTTAGTCACATGTCGCTAACAGTTCTACATGCATATCTTACAATAAGCGAGGTATTGCACGTCTGTGCACTACGCACTGCAGTAGTGAGTGAGTTTAGTTTTACGCCGCACTCAGCAATATTCCAGCTATATGGCGGCGGTGTGTAGATAATCCAGTATGGACAATCCAGTCATCAACATCATGAGCATCGATCTACGCAACTGGGATACGATGACATGATTGTGTGAACCAAGTCAGCGAGCCTGATCACCCGATACTGTTAGTCGCCTCTTACGACAAGCATGGGCTACTGAAGATCAGTTCTAACCCGGATCTTCACGGGTCAGTTCTTGTATGATTGATGTCTGCAGTCAATAAAAAAACATGGGAACATTAAGTGTACACAAACTGTAAACGTACAGTGTGTTATAACGCACGGTCTTGTCATACGAATGGCTTATCTCATTCCTTCATGCTTATATCAACTCGGCTAGTGTGACTGACAAATGTAGTAGTATTGTACGCACACAGTACGCACATAGTCGGACTGGAGGTTTCTAAAACCGTTTTCACGGCACATTTCGCGAAGTATCAACACATTGGTGGTGGCGTGGGGTCCTGTGCATAGAGCTCAGGTCACAAATCAGATGAAGTCAAGCAACGTTGGGCGCGGAAAGACCTTGGATGGGTGACCGTGACCTCTGAGGATTTCTATAGGATTCAGTCCTGCCCCAAAATGAAGCACATGTGATGCATGTGGTGTCACCTTAGTATGTTCAAACTTGCTTCTATTCAAATGAAAATGGGCCATGAGACAATTAATCTTCTAGCGCCTGACAGGCAGCTTAGGTTATCCGGGGTTATGATAATCAGACTGTGTGTTTGCCCTTTGAGCATGCACCTTGTACATGGAAAAGGTGCATTATAAATTCACATTTATTATTATTTATTACATCGTGTACACATTCCTCTTCTTCTTCCATTCTTCCCCTACCCCATGGAGAACAAGTGTTTGCCACTGATATGGCAATGTCCCCCGCCGCTAAAGAATGGAATATCTATATTTACTACTTTTTATTTTGGGTCACATACAAGATGCCTGAAATGACTGGTGTCTGCATAATCACCCAATGTAGGCTGTCAACATACTTGAAACATTGGGTGCAATGTTTTATGAGATATCCGCTTTAAAAGCGGTCAATGTATCGTGGTGACCTTGAAGATAAGGTCAAGGTCACCCAAATAGACTGGTGTCTGCGAAATCCCCCAACGTAGGCTGTCACCAAATTTGAAGACACTGGGTACAACAGTCCATGAGATATCGCGTGAACAAGAGTTTGAAAAGTGGTCAAAGTGTCGTGGTGACCTTGAAAATAAGCTCAAGGTCACGCAAATCGACTGGTGTCTGCGTAATCCCCAAATGTAGGCTGACAAAATCGAAGACATTGGTGAGATATCGCGTGAACAAGAGTTTGAAAAGTGGTCCGTGGTGACCTTGAAAATAAGGTCAAGGTCAATGTAATGGCCAATGACACACCAAATTTGAAGACATTGGGTACAACAGTTCATGAGATATCCCGTTAACAAGAATCGGGACGGACGTACGTATGGACGCTGCTGAATACATAGTCCCCGTTCCGGGCTGCGGCGGGGGACAACAACAGTGCCAGATATACTAGCCCACGTGCACAGCACATGAACGCGTACATGAAGCACAGATAGACACATGTAACCATATGATTTGGTTTAGGGTAGGGTATACAGTGTGTAGAAAGTACAAGGGGGAGTGTTTTCATCCTGGCAAGAGTGTTATCATCCTGCCAAGGGGTAGTGTTCTGATTTTAAGAGGGTGATTTGATCCCGGGATGAAATTATCTATAGGCCGGTGTAACAGCCACAAATCTAAATTTCCCTCTATTGTAGTTCGATCTCAGACACAAGCCACACTGCGTTTGGCCTGGGCTCAGACCATTCCCTTCCATTAGGTTCCAAACACTCACTCAAGGCAGATCTCTGTTCACGGCAAAGTCAATATCTGGTCCGTGCCCCCCTGAGCACACATGCATTGACGCCATCCTCCGGGCAAAGTGGAAACACCGGAGAGTCTCCCGAGGGATCCCTCACAACTTTTCCTACAAGGCAGACCAAGGTTGCTGTAAATTCGGGAATGCTGAGATTATTTGTCAAACGGTGACATATCTGGAGATTATCTGGCGCACTAGTTCAAGCATACCGATCCTGCGTGTGGTCTTCCCAGACCTTTTATCAGTGTTATATCACACTTTTAGATTTACCCAGGTGTCTGGGATGTGCATTATATGATAGGCCAGCTGCAGTCGTGCCTATCGAGGACGTGTTTTTCTGCCATGTACACGTTTGGAGGTATTTTCTTCATTGTACCAGTTTAATGAACCATATTGTTGTGATGATTATTGACACATGCGTGCAACCAGGTTGTTTTAAAATGGACGAGAGTTTGCTATCAATGTTCAATAATGGCGTGTCGTGCATCAAAGCTGGTCATTTCATTCTTAAAACTGAAGTGACAGGGATTACCTTAATAATTGTTCCATTTGTGAAAGGCATTTGTGTAGCAAATATAATATTCCAAATGCAAACAATTCCTTTTCACACACACACACACACACACACACACACACACACACACACACACACACACACGCACATACGCACGCGCACGCACACGCACACAACGGTACATGAATTCGTAGAATATAAAACTAACATCAAAATAATTCATAACTTTGACATGATAGATATATTCACATATTTTCCCTTGTAACCTACACTGTACATCGTTCCAAGACAGAAGCGTCCTTAATTTATATATATATATACACGTTCATAAAACCAATGGTTTTTAATCAATCTCATTACTCTGGCCTCAAGGGTTGAAATATTTCTGTTATTCCCAAAACACAAAAGAGTTCTAAATAAATTATGGATGTTTTGTTCTTTTAATATGCTGATAGTGAGATTTGGATATTTTGTATACCTGTTTGCATTTATGTTTCACTATTTACCTTTTCCATTTTAACTTTGGTTAAGCATTTGTAAATACCTAGGTCGTAATGTTTTAAAATGTACATTTTAGCTATGTTGATTTTATTGGCCTTTTACGCTCTGAACGTGCAAAGCTCGTTATCGTTATGGAACATTTCCACCATGCCAAGATCTCATCATCCACACTGAAATGAAAGATATGAACTGACAGTAATAAATTGCTGCTGGGCCCCCACTCCGGTATGCAAACATTTAAATTTGGCAAATGAGAAAACGTATGGTTATTTAACTTTTATTTTCGGTATATTAGTTCTAGAAATGCGAGAAACAATCGCGGTTATTTCAAGACAAAACTAAATCCCCATGTTATATACTGTCCATATCACGAGGGTGGGGAGACAGGGCGTCCGGACGGTTGGTGTTCTGTTCTCCACGTCGTCCGATGATGCCGCCTGGAACACAAAGCCTCCGTTCAATAGCTACAATATGTTTCGTTTAGGCTATGAGACATTTCATGTCGATGTCTAGAGATATCGTTTTGTATTTTGCCTAGTCGTTGAAAACATAATACTTTTGCTAGAAACAAATGACTCCAATGAAATTGAAAAGACAAGACGATTTAGAGACTCGTGATTTAGAACCTGAGGAACATCTAGATTTGATTCATCTTAACTTTTGCATTTCAGAAAGGGCTGGGCGGAAGGGGAAACAATGTAGTTTGACAGACAGTGAGACAGACTACCTTTTGTATCTGAAGTGTGTCAAGTGTTTATTGATATACATTTTCAAATGTTAATTAATGGTCTTTATCCCATGGCAGAGTGTATGGGGGTTTTACCCCATGGTAGAGTGTATGCAGCATGAGCAGGTAACAATAACACACGTTCTCATTGTCATAGTTTATGTCCTGGTAAGCTCAGCACCAGGACAAGGGTGGAATTGTAGCCTGGCCATTTGCCTCTTCAAGAGAGACAGGAACACAAGTGATCGGCTCCAAGGTCGAGATTGATAGTCAATAGATGTTGGCGGTGTTTGAAACTTTGATTGTCTATGCAAATGTCGGCAATATGTGGATTAGAAGTTTCACATGGATTCTGGTGGATTTGTGTGCTGTGGGGGAATTCACTTGATCGTGACGGAACTGGATGATTAATTTAGAAAGAAACAAGATATTTAACTTGTATTTACTGATACCTGCTCGTTATTATTGTCAGATGATTGCTGGTCTCTCTTTGCTGTGTATGGGGATTGTAATTAAGATCCACTCGTAAACTTTCCCAAGCTGCCCAAGATGCCGATAGTTCGGTATAAGTATGGATACTGATCTGTACTATAATGAAACTATACGAGGATATGTCAAAGTGTAGCGCCACGAAACGGATCTTAGCATCATGACAGGGGCACTTCTGCAGAAGCAAGGTCGAAGTAGAGAAAGACAGAAATTGAAGCACCTACCTATACACCTACCTTAAAAAAATATTACCCTAAAAGCCGAAATATATTTAAATTTGTATGCAGCGCTTATGGAATAATACAAGGGACATTGTCGCGATAATGTCCCTTCTTGGATTCCATAAGTGCTGGCAAAGATGTCTAATCCAGCATTACTGGGATTCTCTGTATAACAATGGTTAAGTCAAGAAAGGCTAAGCTTGCTACGTGAACCAATCACTTACCATATGATGACAGTTCCGAACAGACACTTACAGGAACTTTTAACATTGTGAACAAAGTCAGTAGATGACCAACTGAATGTCCGTTAGCATGCTTTGGCAACTGTTTAATTACCTGTGTTGGAGGCTGCGCACTCAGCAACCCAGTCGGTGGGAATTATGTCTTTGGTGAGAGACACAAACTTGCTCAGCGGGCACTGGGTCGAACAACCTAGAAACGTACATATTCGATTATTATAGATTTTGATATACCAATGATCATAATGATTCCCGTTGGGTGATGGTGTTTGAGCTTCCTGACTCACATATTCAAAAACATGAGCAACCGTAAGGGCTTTATAACCCCACTGCCTCGTATGTCATTGGGCCTCACGGTGTGAGACAATTTGTAAAAGTAGACTTCAATATCACCATTCTGTGAGATTAGGATGATTTCTGTAATGTTGAGTTAGTAGTGAGTCTCACCTGGTAAGGTAAGTTGATGAGGCTGTGTGTCATCGTTAGGGTCTGTGGAGGACACATTCCTGTAGTACAGCTCCACGTGGAAGACGCCGGCCGCGGCCTCGTGCAGCTCCATGAGAAGGGTGGCCGTATAGGGTGGGGGGAGGTGGTTACCCACCCGGAGGGCGCACAATACCGACATCACCGTGGAGTCATGCTGCAGACAGAGAGCTAATATAGTCAACTAACTGTATTAGGAAGCTACTGTAAGTGTTTATGTCAGTACAATTACTATACCCATTCTTTAGAGTTTCAACAAACAGTTATAGGCCAGTGTACCGGGAGGCCTTGCTCACACAGGAAGCTGGCACTTACTATTCACTGAATTATTCATGAGACCTACTAAACGTAGGAGCTGTAGCAGTGGAACCTAGCCTTCTTGATTGATCTTGTACTCATCTATCATCATGATCCCTACGTGTAAACTATAAGCAGAGGATCATCAGATTATGGAAAGCTAGCAACTATACCAACAGCGGAGAACATGTTCATCTTGGTGGTGTAGGAGCTGGAACTGACTCTCTGCTGTGTTTCTTGGATCCATCTCTTCACCATTACACCTAGAACAGTGAACGTTGCAAAATTACAGACTGAAACACAAAATACTATATATACATTCTTCAAAACCGAAAAAGAAACACATAGGTGATTTTGAAAATATTGGACTCATGTAGCTGCGTCAAGAACAATACAAATATACTATTTTCAAAATGTCATCTTTGTGTGATTTTAGACAGCTTCAGTGCCAATTTTAATATTTTCCCTTGTTTTAGAAGCGTTTGAAGAAATAATCGCCAAAACGTAACCAAGAAAAAACGAAAAGCAAAATGCATGTGCAAGTAAGTGGAAAAGCATGCGCTATCTGTCATTATAAAAAGGCAAGCGATGTGTTTAATTTTGTCATTCGTTTTTGCCTGGAAAGGAAGAAATCATCATGCCAATGGAAACATCGCCATAGGCTGCCTTGAAAGCTGGGGAGTCGCAGTCTGCAGTTGCCCGACATTTCAACGTTCATCAGAGTACCATTTCTTGCCTTTGGGATCGTTTCCTGCAGGCTAATTCAGCCCAAGATCACCCGAGAAGCGGCCGTCCAAGAGTTACCATCCAAGCCCAGGACCGCTACATCCGGGTTGCTCACTTGAGTCATCGTCTTGCCACAGGTGTGGAGACAACAACGCATCCCTGGTTTGAGCAGAATTTCCGATTAAACTATCAGGAATCGATTGCGTGAAGTGGGGATTCGACCAAGAAGGCCAGTTGTCGCCACTTCTTTCAGAGATTCCATCGGTGCTGGTGTAGAGTCCGGAACTGGAACCTTAGAAACTGTAGGCGATTCTGGTACACTGATGAATCACGATTTCTTCTTTAGATGGAAGACAGCGTGTTTACCTTGCACGTCACATGCTTCCGAGTATGGACCGACAGAGGGAGTTGTTCCAGCATGACAACGCTACTTCACCTCACGGTCCGCTACCTTGACAATTCTAAAGTCAGTGTCTTGCCATGGCCTTTCCGATCACCAGATCTAAACCCGATAGAACACTTATGGGATGAACTCGATCGACGTGTACGTCAACAAAACACGCCTGAGACACTTCCACAACTGACCATCGCATTGCAGGAAGAGTGGGGAAGAATTCCGTAAGAGCGACTTCGTCGACTTATCCAGTCTGTGCCGAGACGGTGCCGAGAAGTAATTGCTGCCAATGGTGGCCATACAAATGATTGACTTTGATGCCATCTTATTGACTCAAGTAAACAGAAACACAACAATAGAGGCTGCTGTGTTGGCAAACTAACGCAATAAATTCTTCTAAAATGACATATACGTTTCTTTTTCTGAAATGTGTAGCTACTCGTACAGAACTCACAGAAAACCCCACGCTGTTTCTATTTGTACAGTACAGTACAGTACAGTACGGTACATCAGTTTTTTATCAATATTATCAATAGCTTGATAGGATTATTATCGGATGTTGACATTTAGAAATGTGGGTTGGGTAGGGTGTCCAAATATTTACCTTGAGGTCGTCATAACAGAAAATGAAACTCATCTCCAATTACATTTAAATCCAATTACTCACAAAATCTTCTACATCATACATATGTGGCAGACACAATAAATTTTATTTTTACAGTAATGTGCACATTTGTTTTAATTCTTTTAACAATTCTATGGATATTTGTCACAGTTACTTTCAGAGTTGCAGGTTTATCTTTACGTACTAGTACAATACTTTTTTCTATCAACAGGTCTGGTCATTTTGAAACTGACTATAGTCATCTTAACAAAGGTCTATTATTAGCGATATAGTCAGTATCATTCTATTTTAATTAAGGGTGGTTAGGTAGGGTCACATTCATAAATGTGGAAGTTGCCACACTCTACCTTTTGGGCACCTCTCTTGAGCAGACGACATGGTCCTGATATAACCCCCCACAATTCATCAGACAGGAAGTGCACTGCCTGTAACCGGCCCATTTTACGTTTTCAGGTGTTACAATTTTCGCATGTACATGCGAGCGCCAGTTTACAGTATCCATAAAATTCACATGAAGAACTAGTGAACATATTGATGGATTGATAATACAATGTGCCATTGAGATTGACATCCAGTGATCGCGGGAAAGTATCAGCGCCTTGAGCAAGCACTAGCTATAGTTGCCTGGATATGTGCGCTATATAAATATCCTATAATAAATATCCTATAATATAATAATATTGTCGTTAGAGATTTCATCAATTTAATATCAAAATTTAAGAACATTCTGTATCTTCTTTTGGGCTAAGAAGATTGATTTGACTAAACACTTTATAATTAATGGATTAGTTGAAGAAAATAATTGAGCATACTGATGTGTAACTCCAAAGATATTTAGGTAAAATATTCTGCCTAAATTCCTTAAAGAATGGGCATATAAAGCAAAAATGCAGTTTCCACTTCTGTTATAATACAAAAATTCAGTTTCCACTTTTGGTATAATACAAAAGAGACACAACCTCTCCTTTCTTGGAATGTTAAGCTTTCTACCATCTGATATCATAAGATTATGATCCGAACAACGAAATTGTGATAGTGAATCATATACACTTGAATATCTAACTTTGTCAAATATTATTCAACAGCATAATCAAATGTAATAATGCTATAGAACGACAAACTAGAATATTTACCAAGTGCATCAGAATACAGCTGGTTATCAATGTCGATTCACATTTACCTAAGATGTAATGTAAACATATGACGTAATGTACACTTCCTTTGGTTTTCCACGAACTGAGTTTCCCATTTCCAATACCACAACAAAATAAAAACCTTTTCACCTTTTACGCCCAACAATTTACTCCTCTTTCAGCAAGATTATAATGAAACAAAGAAATATGCTCAAGAATATAATTATCACTCTGACATAATAATCTTATCCAATATTTAATAATTTTGACATTCTGATTGACTTCAAGTGAAAATCTTCCCAATTCGCCTCTAGCCACAATATTAGGAACACTTCTTTTCAAATGTAAGATCACTTTTATAAAACTTGTCATGAATATTCATTATGTTAGGAAAGGGCTGGAAACCCCATGTCTCAGGCCCATGAAGTAAAATAGGTAGAATTCTGATATAAAAATATGCATCGGGTAAGTTATCAAAACATAAAAACAACCTTCCATGCTTGTAGGGACAACACTTTCTGAGTGGAATACCATGAACCTGTACTAGATAGGTGAACCCACAAGTACTTACATGTATACGTAGATACAATCTCTATATCGATACACCGTTGTCCGTCTGCATTAAGAAACTTAACAAGATCGTTTTTGTAAAGGGAACAAGAAGGGAGGCAACTGGCAACCATGGCGTACACTAAGTAGCCAATCCAAGAAAGGAGTAGAACCTTGTTGAAGTGATACACACGACTTGACATGTTCATACATATTGCGAATAAGTACTAAACATTACCAATTCAGAGTTTATAAAACAGTGACATTCTCGAGACAAAATCGAATGCAGCCCTCAGATCCACAAAGGCACAGTATAACTTTCCCTTATATAGAGATAAATACTTCTTAATAATAGTATCAATCACAAAAACTGTATCTGCTGTTGGAAATCCTTTCCGAAAACCGGCTTGTTCTGGTGTAATGAAAACCTCCTCGATCGTCCAGCTGTAAAGTCTATAAAATAATATTTTCGAGAACATTTTCACACTAACTTTGAACAAAGTGATTGGTATATAATTACACTCTAGACTCACAGTGGTCAGCCAGCCAAATCCATCCGGCCAGACGTCCTTCCAGTTGTTGGGATTGCTCGGATAGGTTGCGTATGGACTTCGGTCACCATGGCGATATATCTGAATTTTAGAGTTTAATCGTAATACACAGACAATCAACCCCTAACATTTGGTGTATCCAGTAAAACATGTTTGTAGAATATGGAACTATCAGGGCTGAGGTTACGGCGATAATTACTGAGGTTAGGTATATACCAATCAAACCTACACAGTACAGACTGATTAGAAACTGCAACGTTACATACAATATATTAATCTAGATGTGGTTATTTTAAAACCGGTAGTGTGTGACGCCCTGTATTGAAGGGAAGATCCTTACCAGGTTGACCAGTCTCAGTGTGTCCGGGGCCCTGGACACGACACAGCACCACCCACACACAAACACAGCAGCACCCAGCATAGCGGTCCACATGGTACTGGAGGTCGAGGCAAGGTGTGTACCTGACTACATGAGAACAGGTGCCCGTAGTCTACTAGGAATTAGATTTCTTATCACAGCGTTCAGTAATCACTCCGAGATAAAGGCAAGCGACACAGATAGAATGAGGACATTGAACATCCAATCAGTGATAAGTACTATTCAATGTAATGTCATAAACATAATTATTCCTTCTTTGGTTAATCCAAGACCCAGATTGTTTTACGGATCCCACATATTTGTGAACCTGTGAGAATGGTTAATGAATATATGAAAATCAGTCTCATGATATGAATTGTAGGCCATTCCCAATGCTATTAAAGACAACACAATGTATGTCGCTAATATTAACTGGTGTCTGCATAAGTCAGAGGGACTTGTCAAGTTACTTTTAATCACTATCAGCTAATAATACACGCACAGAAGGTGGCATTGACGTTAGCAGATGAGTTAGACGCATTAGAATTCGATTTTGCGCAGAAAACCTTGAAATCGTATGTCACAGGTTCAATTGTTCACACAATGTATAGCACAGCATCCCTGGCACATTTCACAATTTTGTCCCTAACAGCTTGCCATACAGATGAGCTGGCTGCCGGCAGGTACATCCTGGGTTCTGGCACATGCTGCTCCTGCACTCTCTGCACTCAGGTGATATAAAAGCTGCATGTGCCATGTGCCCGGCACACACCATGCTGGCAGTGGCAGCCCTGTACGTAATTTCCCTAATTACAGGTAGGCAAGTTTGTTTGAATTGTTCATATTAAAATGCCAAGTGGTCGTGTTTTAAAACCCTGCGACACGTATATACATACCGACAGCAGTGGATGACCTCGCCTAAATGGATACTTAAAGACCAACTGTCGTTCATTTCCCGATTTCCGTATGTCGCATGACTACGTGGTCAGCCAGTCAGAGAGTTAATGAATTGACAATACTTAGCGCATCATGGAATTGGCTCACGGGAATCACTATCTTCGTCAGCTGATGAACGTCAACAATACAACGTCAATCCTAAAATATTGACAGACCTCGTCCAGATGTGCACTACCAAGTCAACTGCATTGTTCCAACAGACTAATCTTACGAGTACTAGTAACATGACCATATATAATGTGTTCAAATGCATACCCTTGACAGCCGGAATGATGCAAAAGTTTGAAAACGATTAAAAAAAATTGAAAAAAAAATGTTTCCCCACCTTAGGAAATATTCATATTTCGAACCCTAATAAACTTAGAAAAGAATCGGAAATTACATCACCTACTACAATCAAAAGGAATGTACTGGAAATACTGTATGATTAAAGGGGAAGTGTACACGATAAAATCACATTTATTCTTATGTGAAACAAAATTAAATATTTTAATTATTTAATATCAGTGTTTGAAATTATACACTCATTTTTCTTACAATGAAAGTATAACCCTCAAAATAAGTGCTGAAATGTTATGCCATCATGCGGTCCTTGTTTGCCGAGCTAAACAGGCCAGAGTTACCGCCCTTTGATTATGACGTAATTGGTGCCACTTGATTTTAGACTGGTCTCCTGTCTAGTCCCAAATCAAAAGATAATAATTCTGTGAGAACTTAATCACGTGAGAAAAGTTTGTGAAAATACGAAAGAAGCATAAGAACTGAAAATGTAAGCAGCAGGACAGATTGATCGTGTGTATTTTCATTCATAACCTCACGTCAATTAAAATACCAAATATGTGTAACAATGTTGACGTACGTATGACATCACTATCGGGAAGCGACATTCTCAAAATGGCGTGTTCACTGACACGAGTACGCCGGATATTTCGACGGGAAATTTCGTTGTTTCAAGCAACGTATATACATACATGTAGTCCAAAAACATTCTGACAATCTGCTGGTTCTTATTTTTTTTGTTTTCATTGTGACCAAGGGAAATAGTCAGAAATGCGGAGAACTTCCATCGTCGGTGTGCGTGAATTTTTCATCAGTCATGGCGTCACGCTTTCAGAAACTATAATAAGTTGTGATGAATCTCGGAAATCATTGGAATACACCTATTATATTTAACTATCGCTTGCTACAATACCTTTCCAAAGCATGGTCTAAAACTAATGAGCAAGTGTATGCAACAAAGGTAGGCGAACAGATACACAGAGTGAAATCTGAATTCGGCTTTGTTGACATTTCAAACAAGTGGTCGTTTCCCAGCGCGGAATCTGATATATTTCGTTAGATTTCACTGAACACTTGGTATTGGTGACAAAGACCATTTGTCATTTTATTTTGAACTGTATGAGGAATTCAGGGATTCGTGTAGGAGTACGTGTGACGTGATTTATAAACACTCTGCAATATGGCTGAAAATTCACTTCGACGTTAACTGTGTGTATTTCGTAATCTGTCAAAACTGGCCAGATTTACGATGCATGTAATTTTCAGTATATTTGCCTTAAAATGAGCGGATGTCATAGAAAACCGAATTTCAAACCGAATTAAAAACTGCCAATTGCATTTTTCTTCGTGATGTATTTGGATATGGTATCGATAGGTGGGAAGAGTGGAAGAGGTTACGATTTATGTAGGAATTAAGTAACAAACGTAGAATGCCGACACATTCACCGATGGCAAGCTAGATGTAGTGCATAAACGTTTTAGTTTTTGTGAAAAACGATACTGTTGAAAGACGACCGACTCAGGTTGAATGTTGTACAATTTGGTTACATGGTAACACTGTTTGTACAATGTATACGTTTTTTCAAACTGCAACGTCATCACAGTGTGGAACTGACCACATAGCCAGCTGACGGCCAGGCAACAGCTGGATTAAAACAGTAGCCTGCGCATCGAGACTCTAGAACCACACCTGTACCTGCACCACGTGAAATGGGTCTTACAACGTCATTCGTTTATCGGTCTGGCACCAATGACGTCATTTCCAAGGGACATAAGCCATGGTGTGTTTATTGTGGACATAGAACTCGATATAACGCAAAAAATAAATTAGTTACTTCTGATATCTGTACTGTTTTGGCTATAAAACAACTTGACAAACACTTTTTATGATGAAAAAGTGCAAGACAAAAAGGTTAATTTTCGTGTAAACTTGCCCTTTAAGCATTTCAGAGGTATATGAGGGGTATGTATATTTGGTGGTAAGATACCAATAAGACTTTCTGATGAATGTGTACAAATATTCAGTCGAACAAGATGAAAACATCGTCTGCTTTCCGAATAAAAATTCAGCAAATACAAATTTGTTTACGTTGATTCTATGTTATGTCAGAATAGATCCAGCAATAGACTGCTACAAAATTCCCGTGTTAAATTTATTATCAGCTTTCGTCAACGATATCGCCACTGATCTTGATCCGGTAACGGAGGATGCATTAACATCGAACGCCGAAGAAATTTCAATGCCTTCCGTCCACATAAATAAACAGTTGGGTTATCACTTCAAACAAAATGATATTTTGAAATTTGTACTGTTTCAAATTTAGAGGTAGTAAAACACAATTAGATCTACAGAATCTGCAAACCGTTCTGTTTAGCCCAACATATTTTTTTTCTAAATGTATAATATCGTTCAAAAAGTTATTTAGCTTAGTCATGATCCCTCTTATCCATTACACTGCTTGATCTAAAAAGTCTATTAAAGTATAATTAATTACCTTACCGTGTTTATGCCAGAGTTACACCCTCGTGTCCTGATCCATCCTTTCGGAAATATCACCACAAATCTGGCTCTTTGTCAACAGACTCGCGAACATGCCAGCGAATCCGATTCAATTTGAATTCACTACACTTTGAAGCCACTAGGTCACAAAACACTTTCCAAAATGTAGAAAATAATATCCGTAGAATCGAATTTGAGCACAAAGTACACACATGAGTGTGTAAGAGTCACCACAGCTGTCGCACGCAGACGTAGAGGTGCGTGAAATCGTCAAGTTGACAGGGCGCAAAATTCAACAGTATCTAAATTCGGTACAACACGGACTTCTCGTTACAGCAAAAAGCGCCCCTACTCTTAAATTTTGTACCAGTACCAGTAATTAGATATCAAAGACTATCTCAGTCATACAATCAGGTTAACCTTGCGCAAACTGTCAGAGGCTCTCCTGTCGCATCTTTCCAAATTTGCACGTAAATGTAAACAATGACTTCGAGCAAAGGTCAAGGCCATGAGGTTGGTATATTTTTCCACAATGTATCAATGATTACCGGTGTAAAATAAATAAAGAAAACCAAAGTCGTAATATTTCACATTGTAAACAGTAAAACTAAACACAAAAAATATTGCACACCATAATAACATAATGTCACCTACAAACCTTCCATTAGGATGTCATAAATAGAGAATACTACACCATAATCTCATTACATACAAACCTTATACGAAACGAGTGTCCTTCCTATGGTATCTGACCGAGCGAAAGGTCAGATACCATAGGAAGGACACTCGTTTCGTATAATTCGTATGTAATGAGACCGAGTGTGGTATATTATTTATTACCCACGTCTTACATGCATTAAATTGACAAAATAGCGTATTTTTGTTCATATTTTGGTTTCAAACCGAAACCGGTTTCATAAAGAGGTTGCGGAAGAGTTTTGTACTGTAGTACAATGTTTGCATGACGTCACACTGTAATGACGTCACTGCCTTGGTAACCGACGTCACGATGCATGTCAGTTGTCATCGCCTCGTACAGCCTCCTACAGTAAACTACTCCGTAGCACCGCGTTTCTTAGTTTGCAGTTGCTTCATTCGGCTAACATCACAGGTGGAAACATTGCGCTTATGTTTTTCGACGGATATAATGTCTCAGTTCGACTCACAATTAAACAGCGACACGGCAACGTTCGCAATGTTTACATTCCCAAAATGCATTGAAGTTGTAGAATGAATGAATTCGCGTGTTTGTTATGAATGAAAAAATAGTTACCTCAGAATGTGACCTAATTGAGAGGTCATCGGTTATCCAATCAAATCGTTAGAATCTCAGGTCAAGTCGTTACGACACATGTACAGGTCAACGCGATACGACACTCGTGTGACGTACGAGATCAGTATGCAACTACCCATACGTTGACCACGTGGGTAATAAGTGTTATTATCCATCAGCTTTAGGGGTGTTACAGCGTGTCAGTGAAGTGACACAAATATAAACAATATTGACACTTCTGACATCAGCTGAATTGTTATTTCTGCCAGACTGTCAATAAACGGAAATTTGTATGATAGTCCAACAGTATCTTCGACATATTTGGTATTGTTCATACTTTGTAAAGCATGGTGCTGGAATTATCTAATATTTTGCTAATCTAAATACAAAGTACCAACTTTTGTTTCCTTGTAATGGTTTTCCCTGCATACAGAGCCAAAATTACCTTTAATTTGTAAAGTTTCACTCATATGTTTCTCATCAAATGCACTTTCTATTAAAATTGACCTTTGACCTTACCAAAATGTTTTTTGCAATGAAAGAATATATGTTATTATAGTACATAATTTTAAATCATGATTCGAGCATTCCAAAACTACTATTGTGATGAAAATCGGAGTTATCAAATTAAACCATCCAGTTATCGATAAAATATTACCATAACTGACATGACATGTTGCACCTTAAAAAGGCCCCTGCATGATAGTCACGCACGGTAGCTGATGACAACCGGCTTTTAATCAAATCTAAATCAGTCCTGATTGTGAAAAGTCACATCCCAATCGGTTGCCAGAGCTGCACCACATTTTGACCATTTTGGGAGTCTGGCTTCTGGACCAAAAGGGATATGAAAGGACTGGCAAAACGAAACTATTTATGGTTGTTTTGTAACACGTGCATGGTATGCACCAACAGTATAATGTTGATTAGATTGTCAGTGGTTTGCATGTAAGAAGTACACATTAAAACGTCAAGATTGTTGGCAGCGGAGCGAGAACGACGCGAGCCATTGAAATGTCACAGATGGTGGTTTTAACCAGAACGTTCGGCTGTACAAGGC